TGTTCTGTCCAGAACACATGCCCTGTCCTGAGAGCCTCACAACTACTGGAGCCAAGATAATCAACAGTTGCTTCCCATAAGATGCCTAGGAACCCACTCTTCCTTACAGGTGCTACCTCTTCCAGCCCTCAGGTCTTCTGGACCCCTGTGCAGCCTGCAACATGCTGTGCTCCTCAGGGTGGTGCCTCTGTATAGTCAAGAATGATAAAGAGAGTCTGATGGATAACTGCACGTAGCATACCAGTAACTGTGCTCACAGTACCACACGTGTGTCATTTGGCTCTGTCTCCTGTGCACTTGAGTCCCCATTGAAATTATATGTGGTTCAAGTTGTGTGACTATCCAGGAAGAAGGCGATGTCAATTTCCAGAGATTTCCAATAATTATGAAAAATTCAGTACCAAAGTGCTGGGAAGGAAAGAAGGAAATTCCCATCCACCCAAGTCCATTTCATTGCTGGAGAATTTGCTAGATGATCCTTGAGCTCATTTCTCAAGGGACCATAATAAAATTTCATATAAACCCTCTCACAAAAGAAAGAACTCATGCTTACAAATGATTTGTAAACTCGTTAGGAAAAAAAAAAGGTCGATGATACTTAAATTAGACTTTGGGGTCATTTTACGCAGTTTTACAGTTTGTTAGCTTTCTAAGAAGGCATTGGTTAAAATGCACTGTGACATTTTGGCTAATTATGGCTGGCCCAGTTCTGATCATGATCAACTGAGTAGAGGTCCTGAAGCCAGGGCCTAGGTCTTCTTGAGGCCCTCATGGGGAAGAAAACATTTCTAAACATTTTGTTCCAGAATCCTTCTCACTGCTGGATGGGAAAAAACAACAAGAATACATACAAATTCAGCAGTGTAGCTAGATACAAAGTCAATGTTCCAAAATCAATAGCATTCCTATACACAAATCAAAAACTCACCAAGAGAGAAATTATGAAATTATTGCCTTTCACAATAGCATCTAAAAAATGAAATACTTAGGAATCAACCTAACTAAAAATGTAAAAGATCTATAAGCTGAAAATCATGCTATTCTAAAAAAGGAGACTGAAGAGGATATTAGAAAATGGAAGGATACTCCTTCCACTTGGCTGGAGAGAATCCACATTGTGAAAATGACCATATTCCTAAAACTGTTATACAGATTTAACACAATCCCAATCAAAATACCACTAACATACGTCCCAGACCTAGAAAAAACAGTCATAAAATTCATTTAGAAACAGAAGAAACCTAGAATAGCAAAGGCAATTCTAGGCAACAAAAACAAGGCAGGAGGCATCTGAATTCCTGACTTGAAACTATACTACAAAGCCACAGTGATAAAATCAGCAAGGTACTGGCAAAGAAAGAGACCTGAGGATCAGTGGAACAGATTAGAAGATGTAAGCACAACTACAAAGACACTCAGCCACCTGGTATTTGACAAAGGGGCAAACATGTCCACTAGAAGAAGGATAGCCTCTTTAATAAATGGTGTTGGAAAGATTGGCTTACCACACACCAAAGACTGAAACAAGATCCATGCCTATCATCATGCACAAAACTAAAGTCTAAATGGATCAAAGATCTAAATATTAAAACCGAAACACTAAATCTACTGGAAGACAAGGTAGGTAGAAATCGCAGAGACATAGGGGTAGGCACAAAATTCATGAACAAAATGCAAACTGCATGGGAAACACTACAAAGAATCAACTACTGGAAGCTCATGTATTGAAAAATTTCTGCACTTCCAAAGAAATCGCCAACAGAGTGAAAAGATAACTCACAGAATGGGAAAGAATTTTAGTCAACAACCCCTCAGACAAAGGACATATATCCAGAACTTATAAAGAATCAAAAACATAGAGCCCCCTAAATTCAAGGACCCTTTCCAAAAATGGGCATCTAAGATGAACGCACAACTCTCAGATGAAGATATACAAATGGCAAATAAATACATGAAGAAAAGTTCACCATCATTGGTCATTTAGAAAAGCAAATTAAAACAGCACTGAGATTTTTATCTCACTCTGGAAAGGGTGGCTGCCATCAGGAAATCAACCGGTAAGAAATCTTGGCGAGGCTGTGGGGAAAAAGGTACACTACTCCACTGTTGGTCGGACTGTAGACTGGTACAACCACTATGGAAATCAGTAGGGAGAATTCCCAGAAGACTAGGATTGGAAGTTCCATTCAACCCAGCTAGTCCCCTCCTGGGTATTTTCCCAGAAAAACTGAAAGGGTCATATCACAGTGACATATGTGCACTCATGTTCATAGCAGCACAACTTGTAATAGGTAAATCTTGGAAACAACCAAGATGCCTATCAACTATAGAGTGGATGAAAAAGAAGTGGTATTTTTATACAACGGAATTATTATTCAGTTATAAAAAAGGGTGAACTTGAGGACTTCATATGGAGTCCTCAATGGAGATAACTTGAAGCTATCCTCATTATTGATATAAATAAGAAACATATTTATAAATATCACATTGTTTCTCTAGTGTAAAAAGTAATAAGAAATGTAGGAGTAATAAAACTCAAAATGTGTAATTGCTATTATAAAAAAGAGAAGAAAAGAAAGTGAACTAAATCTGTAACTGCACGTATGTTTAAGTATATAGGATTGATAAACCATATTACTTTTTGTTGGATAGTTGAACAGAATTATTTGCAGTCTTGCTGTTTGAATGTCCATTTTGTATGCTTCACTTCTGAAACTTAAACAACTATTTTTACGAGGACAATATGTAATTATCAACTCGTGATTTCTTATTGTTTATTTTTTTGAAATTATGTATTATCTCCACTCTTTTTCTGCTTTTTTTTCTTTAAATAAAAAAATGATCTTAGAACCACATGATCCATTCACTTCTCCAAGAGTCTCTAATTTCAAGTTAGCAATTAAGATTTACTGGTACAAATGAATAAAGATTGAAGCAAATTTCCTTGAAAAAAATTCCTTCAATCAATGTAATCCATAGGGGAATAAAATTCCCAATCTCAGAATTAAGACCTGATGAGTATTTGCAGTCATCCAAAATAAAGTTCATTCTTTCAGGCTGAGCGTCCAGGAAGAACGCAGAGGTGACCTTCAGCTGAGGGAACCTGAGGAGATGCCAGGTCAGGATGCAGAGCGCAGATATGGGGAGTTCACAGGGAGATGGCATATCAGGCCCTTCAACCAGGTTAGTCATTTCTGAAGTCTCACATTGCTCAGCAAAACACATGCTTTGCCCAGTATCATTTCATAAAGATCTGTCTATTCACGTGAGTATAAGTTAGTTTGTTATCTTATCTTGTCTTACAATCTTTAGTGAGATTCTTTTGTATTATTGCTATTTCAGGAAAATCATTTACTTCATTTCAAGAGAGATTTGGCTAAATTGTCAGACTGCCACGATTTCCTGTTTCCCTGTGGTCTTCTGTGGATGAGCGCAATCACTGGGCTCTGTGTCACCAGGCCCCCAGGACACAGTTCAACCTGCAGGACCTTCTACTTTGGATCAATGGGGGCTGCTGGACCTGTGGAGTCCCTTTAGATGTGGAAAAAAGAAGTCTGTGGATTCCACGTAACTCTTGTCTGCTCGGAGTGAGCTCTGCAAACACTAGGCAAATCCATGACAAGCTTCTTACCTTGCTGAAACACAAGGGCCTATGTTGGCGTTTAGGAACTGTCCAGAAATCTCAAGTATAGCAGAGAAGCAGTGAATTCTGAGATACAAGAACCAGAACACACAGGAAGCTCTCATGAGGGTGGGCACGTTGGGACAACCTGTGGTCTCAGCATTCCTGGTAGCGGAGGCAGGAGCATGGAAATTTGGAGCCTCATCCTGAGCAAGTAGGGAATTTACAAGGCCTTCTCTTGAAATTTGAAAATATATATTTTTAAAGACTATGAATGGAGCTCAGTGGAAAGCTTCCAGGTTTAGCCCCAGGGTCATGCATAAAATAAAAATTAATATTAAAATTAAAAAGTAAACAATTTTTTCATAAAGAAGTGCTCCACTTTATCCTTTATATGCTTTAGGAGGTGAGAGCTTTGCACACAGTGCAATCCTAGACTGGAAATCATAGACTGACTGTGAGCAACAGACTAATAGTAAGAAGGGGGAATCTTTTTCTTTTCCATTAATTTTTACATGATTAGCAGTAACAAAATATTGCGTTGGGAAATAAAAAACAATAACTACCCATTATATTATGCAAATGAATTGTATCAGGTGCAATCAGCACTCACAAATGCTCTCCCACTTGTTATCCTGGTCTCATTATTGGGTGATACCTCACTAGACATTAGACATTTTCACAACTGCTGGGCACAATCAGCCATATATTTAATAAGATCTCTCCATTCCTAGCTTTTTGGCTCGCAGCTTCTCTCATCTCTTCCACTCCTCTCCCTTGGATACTGTCTCTGATCTCTCAAAGATGCTGTACGATGGATTCGTCTACACTTTTCTTTAATATGATGTTAGGGGAAATCCTAGATCAAAACACTCCTTAGGCAAGAGGTCTTGAGTCCTTACCCCTCAGGTGAGGTTTGCAAAATTCAAATCCATCACATTCTGGTCAGTAGAAGAGGCATAAATTTTGCAGGAAGGAGCAGCATGTTCCCTAGGGTAGGCCAATATGGAGGACTCAAGATTCAGAGCCTTGATGGGGCCATGCAGAGGTTGGAGTAGCAGATGTGGGTCAGGCAGATGCTTAGTGAAGATCTGGGAGTTGGGTGTGGGACATTTGCATGTGATCCGCAGATACTAAGTGTTGCTTCTGACTGAGACAGCTCACTCCTGGAATTCCCAGCATCTGAGAAGTCTACACTGACACTGTGAGTTTTAGAACAAATTGGGTGCACACAGGATGAAGACTGTTAGTGACCAGAGAAGCCCAGAAGACCAAACATCGGATATTGTCTTACAGATTTTTAAGAGACTACATGTGTTTAAAAGATTTACTTTCAATTTATACCTCTAAAACACTGCTGAATAAAGTGCTCCTAAAATTTTCATCTCTTACTGGAATTCTTATGAAGTGATTAAAACAACAACAGAAAAAGCCCTCACTTCTGTAAAGCTATAGACAAATAGACATTCAGTCCACTCGTCAAATGGAATTTGATCACATCACCGAGGAAATCAGGGCAGGAAGTGAGCTGGAGGCTGATCCTTCCTGTGCACCAGGAGCAGTCACAAGCACACTTTTCAGTGCAGCGCTGAGCAGGTGTGAAGCACTGTGCCTGCCCAGATTGCACAGTAATACACGCCAGAATCGCTTTCTTCCACATTCCTTGCTACAAACTTATTGCTCTTCCATGTGGCTTGATAAGCATTGTATTTCCCTGGTCTGAATCCCGAATCCAGCATAACCTTGGAGCTAGACTGGTCATAATAGAGAAGGCGTTGTGGGGCCTGGCCCTCCCGAAATCGGTACCAGTGGACGTAGCTCTTTTCTGTGTGCAAATCACAAGTGATTGTCAAATGTGAGCCGGGTGTCCTGGTGACTGAGATCATTCCCATTTCCATGTTGGAAGATGTTTGACTGCCTGCTGTGGGAAGATCACAAAATAAAGAAAAATTATTATTGACATTGTCTGGCATGTTTATAGAAAAAATACCACAACACCTATGACGCACACTTACCAGGATGCAAGAAAGCCAGAAGCAGAGACACAGCACACAGCATGGCTGCTACTCCTGGGAAGAGAAGGAGCAGAAGAGAACAGAAAGCCCCCTTCAAACTCAAATCCTACTCCACATGAAGGGGCCCCCACAACAGTGAGTTGGTGCTGATCTTCCTGGCTGAGTGACATGCAGCTACAGTAGGTAAGGGTCTGTTCTAGAAGCCTGCCCAGTTGGTGACCAGAGTGGGCGGTGCCTGGGAGGAGTCTCCCTTCTCTGCCTTTGTGTGCTCCTGCAGTGCCCCCGTGTGGTACTGTGAGCAAGTCCTCCAAGCAAAATGCTCCACAGCTCAAAGCTGAGGCTGGTAAGCTTGAACATGGTAGGAGGAAGAGCCTCAATCACGCGGGTCTGTCCCTTGTGGTAACAGTGACTTCATTACAGTGTAGAGCGTCCTAGGTTAACACTGCCACCATTTTCTTGTCGTCAATGAAAATTCTCCGTTATTATCCTGACCTGTACTCTTATCTGTGAGAAGAATGTGTGCAGTCACCCACCATCAATTGGATAATCCCTGTGTTGGTCTTAATAAAAGAAACTGGGACCGATGATGTTGAAACAGGAGACATTGCTTCGTGTGCTGCTGTCACAAACTCATGTGCACAAATCAACTTGTTAGAAAGTTTCTTCAGCCTCAAGTCAAAATGATCTTCAGGCACACTAGCAAGATTTAGTTTTAGCATACAAACTGTACCATTGCAGGGAATATATGATATTTACTTAATGTTTGTACAGAATACAAATATACCAAGTCAACTTTTGTTCATTTTCCTCACACTTTTCTTTTTATCAGACTATCTTTTTTTTTTTTTTTAATTGGTACCGGGGATTGAACTAAGAACCACCTGCTTGCAAGGCAGGTGCTTATGCCGTTGAGCTAAATCCCCAGCCCTTTATCAGAGTATCTTGTTTATACAGATTAATAAATTTCATTTTGACAGATTCATACATGCATCTGACATATTTTCATCATTTTAACCACCTCCATAACTCACCATGCTCTGTCTCGCCTCTTGTTTCTGAGACAGGGGGCCAAGGCATATATACTGAACACATCCATCCCCTCCCTCATGACCCTGTGCCCTCAGAAAACATGGTGACTTCAATATTTCATTGACAGGAAGACAGAGAGCCAAACTACTGTAAGGAAATAAAGATACCACTTATAGGAGAATATTCAGATTTTCTCTCTTCATAGTCATTAAAACATTAAAATACAGGTTTAACAGATTCTTAAGGGAATGTGAAAAAAATGTCCCTGACAGTCGCGGTTTTGACTTCTCTCATATATCTTTTTTTTTTTTGTTTGGTGACTTCAGGGAAGTCAGACAGGAAAGGGATTTGTGCTGTGCATCCTCTGCCCCGAGGGAACCATGATTTCAAGGAAAGGCCCTAAGAGAGGCATCCAGAGAGCAGATGCCCAGGTGATGTGCAGGATGGTCTCACGGGTCCCCATACACTGCTGTCTGGAGCCAAGAAGGTCCTCCTGGAACACAGGCTTATGGTTTGAAAATGAGTCAGCATGGTATTCCTATCACAGTAGAGTGTAGCCAAAGAAAATATCAAAAGTATTTAAACAAAAATGCCCAAAAAATGCCAAACATACAACCAAAATGTCAGATAGGAAGCTGCCTTCTCTTCTGCATGAAAGCTAAGCACTAAAAAGATGCCAACCCTGCTGAGAGAGGAGAAACAACTCTGTGACACAGTGGAAAATCCAGAAGGACCCACAGGTGCATGAGACTGTAACACAGGGTGAAGCTGTACATTCAGAGCAGCCAGGCTGGATTAAGTATTCAATAAATTCTCCTTTGGAAATCAGCTCATCATACAGGAATGAAAAATCTTAATATGTCACCACTTAAAAATAGCATTCAGTTGTGGTAAAACTTAAAGCATTCAAATTTATCATTCATAAATTGCATATAAATCTGAGTTAGACCATCGATGAGTGGATATGTAGGGTAAAACCAGTAGATTTTATGAGAAAAGCTTGTAAATTTCTACTCACTACATGGTACAAGAATCCAGGGCTGAGGTCTTCTTGAGTTCCTCATCTGGAAGAGAATCTTCCTGTACATCCTGTTCCAGGACCCTTCCCATTCCTGGATAGGAAAAATTAGGAAGAACACATAGGTCTTTCTGTGTCGGAGGCCTTCAGTGGTGATGCCTCTGTTACTCTGAAATTGCTGCAGGAAGAAATGTCATGCATGGGATTGGGAGGGGCTCCAAACCCCAGCCCTGGACTTCATAAGTGAGCAAAATGTCTATTGAGATTTATGCTTCTAAATAGGTAGCCTTTATCTATAAAATTTAAATACCGTGATATAAAGAGTGTGTCTATTGATGGAGACTTTTTAAAGGGGGATCTAACTCTCAAAATTTTTAAAAGTAACCTTCCGTGAAAGAATTTACAGTTTTAATGCATTCTATGTGTGTTCATGATTGTACAGATGACATACTGTGGTTTTGTTGTAAACATATTTAATGAAGTCATGTTCTCTACGTTGGTAATGACTAAACAGACATCTTCGCATTAGTCAGTTCTGCTGTCCCTGGTCCTAGCTGTGTGCTCAGGCCTCACTTCCTTCCCTGCAGCAGACACAGGTGAGCACTGCCATTGTCTTTCCTAGTCCCTCAGCCTCTTTGGGGACAAGTCCAGGCTATTCTGCTCCTGCTGCAGCTCACCCCAAGGGCCTCCCTCTGTGCTTGTGAGTTGCTTCAGCCAAGGATGTCACCTCCCCCACCACAAGGAGACAGGGAAAGCCTGGATACTGAACTCACTGCCCTCAGGTGCAGGACAGCCACAGGGCTATGCAAACTAAGCCAACAAATCCCAGAAGGACTCTGAACTCTTTCAGAAAACATGTAAACTCCAGGCCTCAAGCTGTGAATTAAGAGAGCACAAAAGTTCACTATCTCAATAAACTTTGCACTCCGTATGCTACCCGGGACACAGATTTGGCAGGCCTTAATGAGGTTAGCGTCTCTTCATTTTATTTCCTTCGTGATTTCAATTATTTCATTTCAAATGACGATTTCTATTTTGCTAATGTAAATATCACATGCTCAGAAACTGGATTTGTGCTGTTTTATACCACAATGTGCATGAAAAACTGTGATTGGATACACAACACTAGGAATATATCTCCTTTTCTGCAATTAAAGTACTATTTCTTTTTGCTTTAATTAGTTATTTAATTTCAACTAAAAAACAAAACATTCATGTGTTCTTTAAGTTTTCTGTCACTGGAACAAAACACTCGATGTTTATTACTTAAGGAGGAAAAAGGTTTTATTTCACACAAGGTTTCAGTCCATGATCAGGTGGTCCCAAGGCAGAGAGATGATGGAGGAAGCAGGTGAAACAGCAAAGTTTCTCATTTTGTGACATGCAGGAGGCAGGGCAGAAGGAAAAATGTGGCAAATGATATGCCCTCCTCCAGAGGGGCGTGCTGGGAGGTCCACAGTGCGACAGTATCTCACCCCTTCACAAGGGTAGGCATCTCTGAAGTTTCAGATTGCTCAGCCACATAACAAGCTTTGCCCACATCTACATGATACCATGATCATCAATCTATTGACCCTAGTAAAAGTTACACACTTTGTTGTCTCATTTGTTCTTAAAATCTTTAGAAAGATACCTTTTTTATTACTGTTTCAGGATGTTCATTTCCTTAACTTCCAAAGAGAGCTGGTGAAGTTGTCAGCCTGCCATGATTTCCTGTTTCTCTGAGATATTTTTGAGGTGAGCACCATCTCTGGTCTCTGTGCCACCAGGCCTCCAGGACACATGGTCAACCTGCGTGACCTTCTGTTTTAGATCTGTGATGGCTGCTGGACCTGTGGAATCCCTTTGGATGTGGAGGCCAGAAGTCTGTAGATTCCTCAAGACTTTTGTCTGCTCAGAACAGGCTGTGCAAACGTCATTCCCTACACTGACAAACTTGTCATACTGACACACAAGGGCCCAGGTGGCCTTTGAGACCCCAGGTGTCTCATGTAGAGCAGCAAAGCAGTGGATCAGTCCAGGACCCAAGGAGCAAGAAAAGGCAACAGGGCAGAGCACACAAGAAGCTCTCATGTGAGTGGGAACGTGGGCCAATTGTGATCTCAGCATTCCTGGTGGCTGAGGCAGGAGGATGAAAATTTGGAGCATTAGCCTCAGTCAATAGAGAATTCACAAGTCTCTGTCTTAGAGTTTAAAAAAATATGTATTTAAACACTATGAATGTAGCTCAGTGGGAAGGTTTCAGGTTTAGTTCTAAGGTCATGGAAAAAAAAAAAAGAAGGAGAACTAGAGGTTTCAGTAAAAGACTGTTCGGCTTTATCTTTTACATGCTTTAGACAGTGACAGGTTTGCCAATGACTACAGTTTTTCCTGGATTGGAAAATAGACTGAATAACTGTGAAGAGTGGACTGTTGGGAAAATAGGGGGATTCTTTGTCTCTTATTTTCCTCTACTTCTTAGGTGCTCAGGAATAAGAAAACCTTAATTTGGAGAAAATACAATAACTACCAATTGTGACATGAAAATACATTGTATTTTGTGTGATCAGCGTTCACTAGTGTTTCTCCCCATTGCCATCCTGGTCTTATTATTGAGGGATCCTCATTAACATTGCACAACTGCTGGACACAATCAGACATATATTTTAATACAGTCTGCCCGTTTCTAATGCTATACACATTTGTGCTGATTTCTGTTTATTCCCTTGTATTTGTCTCTGAGATGCTGTTTCTGATCTTCTCCCGGTGAGGCTGTACTTTGTTTGGTGTACATTAGATGTCTTTAAATGTGTTAGATTAAAACGCTCCATAGACAGGAGGTTATGAGCCCTCCGTCCTCAGAAGGGGCTTGAGGATTCAAACCCAGACCTGTATGATCTATGGAGGAGATATGAAGTTTGGGTAAGTGAGCAGCATGTTCTTCCAGGGGAAACCAATCTGGAGGAGCCAGCCTCAGGCCCTTGGAGAAGTCCATGCTTAAGATGGAGTAGCAGATGTGGGTCAGGCAGATCCTTAGTGTACATCTGGGACCTGAAGGTGAGACCCTATCATGTGAACCTTGGGTACAACATGTTGTTTCTGAGTAACAGAGCAGGCTTTAGGCCATCAGAGAAGACCAGAAACAAAACACTTGCATACACATATTCATGAAAACATAAGGAAAAAAGGTTCACTGTCAGTTTATTCCACTATGACTTAGAATTAAACTATTTCTAAGTATGTAACTCTTCTTGGAATCACTATGAAGTGATTAAAACAAAAACTGCACCTCTGACAAAGGGATATCCAATTAGACACTCGGTCTACTCATACACTGAAGTCAATCACCACACAGAGGAAATCAGGGCAGGAAGTGAGCTGGAGGCTGATCCGTCCTGTGCACCAGGAGCAGCCACAAGCTAATGTTTCAGTGCAGCACTGAGCAGGTGTGAAGCACTGTGCCTGCCCACACTGCACAGTAATACACGGCGGAGTCGCTTTCTTCCACACCCAGGACTACGAATTTGCTGCTATGCTGTGTGACTTGGTAAGCACTGTATTTCCCTGATCTGACTCCTGCATCCAGCACAGCCTTGGAGCTGGAGGAGTCATAGTAGAGAAGGCGGTGTGGGGCCTGGCCCTCCTGAAATTGGTACCAGTGGACGTGGCTCTTTCCCGCAGGCACATCACAGTCGATGGTCAGCATGGACCCAGGTTTCCTGATGAGTGTGATCATTCCCGATTCTACATTGGAAGATGTTTGACTGCCAGCTGTGGAAACACCACGAACAATGAAGAAAAGTTAATGAAATCGTTTGGCCTGTTTGGGAAAGAAGACCATAAGAGCACCCATGCCACTCACTTACCAGGATGCAGGAAAGCCAGAAGCAGAGGCACAGCCCACAGCACGGCTGCTTCTCCTGGGCCTTCCAAGGAGAGGGAGCAGATGAGAAGACCAGAAAGCTCTCTCCAAACTCAAACCCTACTCAACATGAAGGGCTCCCTAGGAGAGCTAGCTGGTGTTGATCTTCCTGACTGAATGACAGGCAGCTGCAGCAGACAAGGGTCTGTTTGAGAAGACATCCCAGTTAGTGACCAGAAAGGGCGGTGCCTGGGAGGAGCCCCTCATTTTTGCCTTTGGGACATCCTGTAGCGCCCCCTGTGGCTTCCAGGAGCAATAAGCAGGCCAAGAGCCTTAAGAACTCAGGATTCAGCCTGGCTGAGAGTGAACATGGTGGGAGGGAGAGCCTGAATTGCATGTGCCTATCCCTTGCGTGCAGTGATCTCACTACAGTGTAGTTTCCTGTGTTAATGCCACTGCTATGTTGTTGTGCAATGACAGTTCTTCTTTACCCTGACCTAGCTTCACATTTGAGTAGAGTATGGCACCATCACCATCCACAAATTGGACAATCCCAGTATCCATCTTATTAAAAGAAGCGAGGATTGATGATGCTGATGCATGCAACACTGTTTGAAGTGAAGTTTCCATGTGGGAATTCACACAAATCACTGTATTAGAAGTTTTCTTTATCATTAAGTCAAATGATATTCAGATAGGCTTCCAGACTTAAAGAATATGAAGGGGATCATTTCAGGAAATATTTGGTACATACTCTATTTTTGTACAAAATACAAATGTAACTATGCATCATGTGTTTATTTTTTCAACTTTATATTTACATATATTGTTTATACACATTAATACATTTCATTTTCACAGATTCTTATAAGCATCTGACGCATTTAGTCATTTAATTCTCTACCATTACCCACATTACAGCACCTGTACTTCCTCATTTGGAGAGGTGATCAAAGCACATATGTTGAACACATCCATCCTGTCTTTGCCCTGAACCCTCAGAAAGTCTACTGACTTCAGCATTTCATTTGGATTCAATAATGAAAAGACAGATGATCAAAGTAGTATGACAAAATAATGGTACCACTTCAAGGAGATTATACAGATTTTCTTCTATGACATTTGTTAATATATGACGACATATGTTTAAAGGATGCATAATGAAATGTGGAAAAAGTTTACCTGATAGCTCCAGGTTTGACCTCTCCCAGGTAATTCATCTATTGTTCGGGTGACCCCAAGAAAATCACAGAAGTGAGGAACTTGGGAGCTTAGTCCTCTGCCTCAAGGGACCATGTATTCAGGGACAGGCAGCAAACACAGGAGAAGCCAGCGAGCAGAGACCAAGGCCCTGGTCTCCTGGTCCTCATGCACTGCTGGACCTAGGAAGGTCTTTCCTGAGCCAGGGGCTCATGATTTGAAAATGAGATGAGAGAACTGTTGTCACACAAGACTGTGACAAAATAAAATATCAAAAATATTTAAACAAAAATGTCAAAACATTCCAAACAACCAACCAAAAGGTCAAGTAGGAAGCTGCATCTACCAGAGAATGAGAGCTAAACACTGAATAGAAGCCACACTGGTGCCAGAGGAGAAAGATTTGTGGGACACAGTGCGAACCAGAAAGATTCACAGGTGCATGCAACTTCAATATAGGGTTAAGCTGTACAGAGCAGCTAGACTGGATTAAATATTCAAAAAATTTTTCTTTAGTAATTGATATGGGAACAAATACAGTTGAATCAGTATTTCACCACTTTCTAATAGTACTGAAGTATAATCAAAATATAAGTACAAATCATTCAAATTTATCATTCATAAATTGCATATAAGCTACAGGTGAGTGAGATTACTGAGAACATGAGCTGTAATGCAAAACAAGTAGATTTTATGAGAGAAACCTGGAAATTTCTCTCCATGGTGCTGTAAATCACGTTAGTCTACATTAGTTAAACTGCAAACAATATTAGGGTATATCCTTCATCCAGACATACTCAATACGAGAAGTTCCTGAACTTCTAGCCCTCATGAGGGGTTTGCAGAATTCAAATCCAGAGCCTTCTGGTCTGCAGAAGAGACATAAATTTGGGAGAGGGGAAGCAGGCCTCTCCACCTATGTCCTCCTCTTCCTAACCTAGAGGAAGCTGTTCCAGGAGTCCAGACCTCAGCACCCCTGGCATGACCATGCAGATGCTGGGAAGGGCAGAACTGGATCTAGGTCACCTTGAGTGCAGATATGAGAGTCAAAATCTGGCAACATGACATCTGGGGCTGCAAGGAGTGACTCTGGCCTGGACCAGCAGTGTGCTAGCGGTTCAGGGAACTAAGAATGAGCCTAGGCTGACTTGTGAATTCAACAATATGGAATAACCTGCATGTGCATGACATGACCATGGTTAGTGGCCCAGACCCAGAAGAGACTGGAAGATCAGAAAGAGTATGGCCCTTGATAGAAATTTATGAATTATATACACATATATATCTATATTACTTTCAATCTAAGCCTCTATAATATTGTGAAATAAATTTGTTTATAAAAAAAAAACTCATCACTTACTAGAATTACTCCAAATTTATTTTAATAAAAGCAGTGCTCTTTGGCAAAAAATACTCAGTTGAAACATGAGGCAGAATTCAATAACACCCTAGTGAATGTCAAAGCAGGAAGTTACTTGGGGGCTGGTCCGTCCTGTGCACCCGGTGCAGTCACAAGCAGACTTTTCAGTGCAGCACTGAGCAGGTGTGAAGCACTGTGGCTTGTCCAGGCGGCACAGTAATACACGGCAGAGTCGCTTTCTTCCACATTCCGTACCACGAATTTATTGCTCTTTCCTGAGCCACTATAAGCATCATATTTGGCTGCGCTCACTCCCGAATCCAACACAGCTTTCGATCTGGAGGAGTCATAATACAGCAGACGTTGTGGGACCTGCCCCTCTCGGAACTGGTACCAGTGCGTGTACCTGCTTCCTGTGTACACACTGCAAGTGATTTCCACATATGACCCTCGTGACCTGGTCATTACTGTCATTCCCTCATCCATGTTGGAAGATGTTTGACTGCCTGCTGTGGAAACAGGACAAAATAACAAAGGAGAGTTAGTTGCATTCCTTGGCACGGCTGGGAAAAAAATTACATCAAGAGCATCCATGCCACTCACTTACCAGGAGGCAGGAAAGCCAGAAGCAGAGGTACAGCCCACAGCATGGCTGCTTCTCCTGGGCCTTTCAAGGAGCAGGACCAGAAGACAGGAGGAAGAGAAAACCCAGTGCAAACTCAGTCTCCTAAAGCAGTGAACTGGCCCTTGTCTGTCTTCCTGAGCAGGAGACAGAGGTAATATCAGAGGGTCTGAAGAGACAGCCCAGTTGGGGACCAGAAGGGGAGGTGCCTGGAAGGAACCCCCAGCTTCTTGGCCTTTAAATGTCCTGCAGCGCCCCCATGTGGCCATCGGGAGCAAGTCTTCTCCAGAGGAAGAGAAGCCAGGGGACCTGAGAGCTCTGGACTGAGGCTGGCTGGGTGTGTTCATGGTGGAGGCTGAACCTGGATAGCACAATCCTGTCCCTTGTGAGGCTGCTGTTCCCTCTCCCTTGTGAATCCTGAATCCATGCTCTTGTCCTGAGATGAAAGCTCTTCACTGTTGACCCGAAACACCTTCACTTAGGTCTGGCTCTAGACTGTGTTGTAATCACTTCCACCTCCCATTGTCCTGTGCCCTCAGCAAGTGTTCCTGACTTCTGACTTCTGTATTTCATTTGGATTCATTGATGGAAAAATAGATGATCCAAGTAGTATAGCAAAATAGTGATCCTACTTCAATGTGATCATTCAGATTTTCTCCCACCACAATTCTTAATAAATTAAGGATACACTTAAAAGTTCCATAATGGAATGTGGAAAAACTATTTCTAACAGTCATACTTTTGTCTCCCTTCTAGATCATTCATCTTTCCTGCAGTGTGTTCTGGAAACTAGACAGGGAAGGAATTTGGGATGTTCATCCTCTTCTTGCAGTGACCATGTATTTAAGGGCAGGAGACAAACACAAGAGCAGCCAGAGAGCAGAGGCCCAGGCCACATGCAGGATGCTCTCAAGGGTCCTCATGTGCTCCTCGCCGAACCCAGGAAGGTCCTGCCTAGAACAGAGACTCATGGTTTGAAAATGAGGGAGCAGAGGATTGCTCAGACTAGACTGTGACAAAACCAAATGTCAAAAACATTTAAATTAAAACACTGAAGAAACAAGTCAAGACAAACAACCAAAATGTCAAATAAGAGGCTGCTGCCATGAGAGTATAAAAGCTAAACACTGAAAAGAAGCCAACATTGGTGCCAGAGGAGAAAGATTTGGGGGCCACCTGAAAATCCAGATAGATTCACAGGTGTATGACTTTAACATAATGTGAAGCTGTCCATTCAGAGCAGCGAGGCCGGATTGAATATTCCATAAATTCTCCTCTGGTAATTGGCTACTCATATGACAACAAATACTCTTGAATCAACACTTCACCACTTGCAAATAGCACTTAGGTGGAATAAAACTGAAAGCACAGAGCATTCAAATTTATCACTCATAAATTGCTTGCAAATTACAGGTGAGATAGACCATCAAGAACAGGGGCTGTAAGGAGATAGTGATAGATTTTATGAGAAAAGCCATGCAAATGTCTAGTCCCTAAACAATGCAAAAAATAGATAATGAGGTAATGTATTTTCTACATATTGACTCAGTGACTAACATCTCTAAAATGTTGTTTGAGACCTGTTATAAGCTAAAAAAAATGAATATTCCAGTTAAAAAAAATGGGCAATGGTGGAAAAGGGGGATATTCTTTCAACAGGAAATACAGATAACAGTCACATTTGCGAGATTACATTAGCCCTCACTGTAGATAAGAAAATGCAAGTTGAATTAACACATTTCACTTTAAGGTCACAGTGCTGGGGGAGACTCTCTATCGCTTCAGATTTTCTACCCTTGGCAAAATCAACTCATCCCAACACCCTCAATTTCTCCTCTGTTAAGCTCAGTAGTACTTGAACCCTCAAACAGTGTTTGTTAAGACCAAATGAGACAATAGACTGCTGGCACAGTAATTATCAGAGAAAGATACCCTCTATTTGTGATCCTTTGAGATTATTTCTACTACTGTGGTAATTGTTGTTTACCAACTCAGTGCTGCCGTTGTCCAGTCCTCAGCCTCTCCTGGTACAAGTGCCAGCAGATGCTGCTCCTGCTGCAGCTTTATCTGGGAAGCGTATCTGTGTTTCTGAGTTGCTTTAGTCAAGGATGTCACCTACTGCAATGTAAAGGGAAAAATGAAAGCCTGAATGTCCAGGTCACTTCCCATTAGGTGCAGGACAACCACAGGGCTACGCCAACTAAGCTTAGAAATCCCAGCAGGACCTTGAATTCTTGCAGAAAACATGTAAACTCCTTTCCTCAAGCTTTGCATAAGTAGAGAACAAAAACTCACCATTTCAATGAACTTCCCCGTCTGTGAACTACACAAAACATAGATTATACAGGCCATTATGAGGGTAGTGTCTCTTTGTTTTATAGACCTCGTGGCTTTAACAATTTCTTTGTAAATCACTTTAAACAATGATTTGTTTTTGTCATAATGGATATCGATCCCCAAAAGTCTGGTGTGTGTTTTTCTATACTTAAATATGCATGAAAAGCATTCTTGTGATGCACACTGCTGTGTATATACACAGCAGTGTGCATCACAAGAATGTGCATATATATATATGTCATTTTCTACTACTGAAATATATATATCTCCTTTTCTACTACTGAAATAATATTAACCTTTGCTTTAATTATAGTTAACTAATTTCAACTAAAAACAAAACAGTAGTATATTGGTCAACTTTTCTGTCACTGAGACAAACATCTGATACGTATTACTTAAGTAAGAAAATGACTTTTTTTCGCAGAATATTTAAGTGCATGGTCAGCTGGTTCCAAGACAGGAACATCATGGTAGAAGCAAAAGATGCCACCAAGTTGCTCCCTTTATGATGACCAGGAGGCAGAGCAGAGGGGAAGAAGGCAGCAAGTGACACACCCTCCAAAGGCCAAAACCAGGGACCCACAGGCTCCAAGTGGACCCCTGCATCTAACAGATATTCCTTTGTGAAATCATTGTATTAGTCCAAGAATGAGCATTGCACCCCATGCCTCAATCACTTCTCCAAGAGTCTCGAATTTCAAGTTGAAAGTTAAGATTAACTGGTACAAAAATATCAAAATGAAAGCCAGTTTCTTTTGAAAGAATTCTTCAATTAACTTGATGAATGGAGGACAATTTCCCATTCCCAAGATGAAGGCTGATGAAGATTTGTAGGTTTAAAGTCTCATATCCCCAGAATGAGTACCCAGGCAGAAAGCCGAGACCTTCAGGTAAGGGAACCTCGGGAGGTGCCAGGCCAAGATGGAAAGGGGGCTCCTGGAGGTCCACAGACTGATGGCATCTCAGGCCCTGCACCCATGTTAGCCATTCCTGGCATTTCAGATTGGTCATCAGAACACAGGGCTTTGCACAGATGTATATGACCCCACAATCACCAGTCCATTTGGCCAAGGAAAAATTATACACCTTATTGTCTTATTGTCCTTAGAATCTTTAGGGAGATCCTTTTCTATTATTGTTATTTCATGAAGATCATTTAATTGCTTTCAAGAGAGAGTTAGCGAAGTGCACAGTTTGCCATGGTTCCCTGTCCCCTTGTGGTTTTCCCCAGGTGGGCACCATCACGGGTCTCTGTGCCAGCAGACCTGCATGACCCAGGTCAAATCTGCCATGTCCTTCTGCTCTGAACTTATGGTGGCCACTAGACCTATGCAGTTGCTTCTGAGACAGCAGTGAGAATTCTGTGAATTCCACAAGTCCCTTGTCTGCTCAGAGCCCGTTCCCGAGCAGGGTGTGCCAACACCAACCCTCACCACTAAACTTCTCCTCAACATTAAACACAAGAGCCCAGGTGGGGCTTGAGAACTGTCCAGGCATCTCAAGTAGAGCATCAGTGCATGGGCCAGTCCAGCTCCTGAGAAGGAGGAAAGTGGCCAACCCAGAAGACATATAAGAGGCCCTCATATGAATGGACACAGTGGGACACACCGGTAATCTCAGCACGCTGAGTGTCCGAGGCGGGAAGAGGAAAATCTGGAGCCCCAGTCTGAGTAATTTAAGAATTAGGTAGACTGTCTCAAAATTTTAATATATATATATATATATATATATATATATATATATATATATGTGTGTGTGTGTATATATATATATATATATATATATATTTATACACACACACACACATATTTTAAAGACTATGAATGCAGCTCAGTGGGAAATTTCCAGGTTTAGTCTCGGGATCATTAAAAAAAAAAAAAGAAATAGAATTTGTCCGTAAAGGACTATTCTTCTTTATCGTTTTCATGTTTTAGGAAGTGAGAGCCTTGCCAAAGTCTACAGGGTACAACCCTGGCTGGAAATAGATTGGATAGATGCTGAGCAATGGACAGATAGGAAGATGGGGGATTGTTTTACCTCTAATTTTCCTCTTTTCCTCTACTTTTTAGAAGCTCGACATTAACAAAATGTTACTTTTGGGGAAGAAAACCAGTGACTGCCTCTTTGTGTTATGGACAGGAATTGTATTGTATGTCATCAATATTCACAATCATCTCTCCTGTTTATTATTAAGATCTTACTGAGTGATTCCTCATTAAAGAACTCACAATTGCTGGCAACAACCAACCATATTTTTCAGTGAAATCAGCCTATTCCTAGTGCCACACACTCCTTTATGTGACATCTACTCTCTTTTCTTCTATTTCTCTTTGTAGGCTGTCTCTGTTCTTCTCCAAGTGATGCTATAAGTTGTATTTAGCCTACATTAGACACATTTAAAACAAAGGTAGGTGAAGTTCTAGATCAAAATAGTCCATCAACAAGAGGTCATGACCTCTCAGCTCTCTATGCTGGGGTTTGGAGGATTCAAATGCAAGCCCTTCTGGTCTAAGGAAGCAACATAAGTTTTAGGGTAAGGGGAGAGCATGTTCTCTAGGGGAGACCTCTCTTGCCTGATATTTATTTATTTATTTTTCTTTTTTATCAGTACCAGGGATCGAACTCACGACCACCTGCTTGACAGCAGGTTCTTGTCTATCCTAGAATCTGAGAAAGAGCCTAATCTGACTCTGTCTCTTTTACAACTAATTAGTGTACACAAGAAGAAGATTATTAATGACACAGACAAGCCTACAAAGCAAAAACAGTATGTTCCCTTATAGATATTCATGAATATTTATAAAACTATATGGATAAAATCTTTTATTTTCAATTTATGCCTGTATAACAATGTTTTTGCTTGTTTGAGTACAGGGAATGGAACTCAGGACCTTGAGCTCACCAGACAGGCACCATGCCACCAAGCTATACCCCCAGCTCTCTGTAACACTGTTGAATTACACTATGTCTAAAAATTTCATTTCTTATTGGAATTCTTATGAAGTGATTATAATAAAAACACTGCACTTCTGGCAAAGGGATATACAATTAGACAGTCTACTCATAAATTGAAGTCAGTCACCACACAGAGGAAATCAGGGCAGGAAGTGAGCTGGAGGCTGATCCGTCCTGTGCACCAGGAGCAGCCACAAGCGGACTTTTCAGTGCAGCGCTGAGCAGGTGTGAAGCACTGTGCCTGCCCACACTGCACAGTAATACACGGCAGAGTCGCTCTCTTCCACGTTCCATACCACAATTTTATTGCTATCCTGTGTGGCCTGATGAGCACTGTATTTCCTTGATATGAATCCAGAATCCAGCACAGCCCTGGAACTGGTGAAGTCATAGTAAAGAAGGCGTTGTGGGACCTGGCCCTCCAGAAATCGGTACCAGTGGACGTAACTCTTTCCAATATGCAAATTACAGGTGATGGTCACAGTGGACCCAGGTGTCCTGGTGATGGAGATGATTCCCATGTCCATGTTGGAAGATGTTTGACTGACTGCTGTGGAAAGATCACAAAATATTGAGAAAAGTTAATGGCATTCTTTGGCATGTTTGGGGGGAAAAGCACCATGAGAGCACCTATGTCACTCACTTACCAAGAGGCAGGAAATTGAGCAGAGACACAGCCCACAGCATGGCTGCTTCTCCTGGGCCACACAAGGAAAGGGACCAGATGAGAACAAGGCAGAAAACCCTCTCTAAACTGAAAACCTACTCAACATGAAGGGACCCCTACGACAGTGAGTCCGTGCTGGTCTGACTGAATGACAGTCAGGCGCGGTAGATGAGGGTCTGTCCGTGTAGACAGCTCAGTTGCTGACCACAAGGGGCGGTGCCTGGGAGCAGCCCCTGTCTCTTTGCCTCTGTGCGCTCCTGCAGCGCCCCCGTGTGGCCTGCAGGTGCAAGTCCTCACCAGAAGAAGAGAAACCAGGGGCCCTGAGAGCTCAGGACTGAGGCTGACTGTGTGGGAACCTGGTGTGAGACAGAGACTGAGTCATGCGGGCCTGTTCCTTCATTACGGGGCAGAGTTTCCTATGTTAATGCTGCTGCTGCGTCCTCATCATGAGATGAAAATTCTTATTTAACCTGCTGTCACATTTGAGTAGAGGTTAGGGCAGTGACCAACCATAAATCAGGTGATCTCTCTATTCATTTTATTAAAAGAAAGTAGCATAATAATGATGATGTATGTGACACTGCTCAAAGTGTAGCGGACATCTATGCCTGCACACAAATCAATTTCTGGAAGTTTTCTTTATTCTCAAGTCCAAACGATCTTCAGGGAGACTTTCAAGATTTAGTTTAAAAATATTTAAAATAGTGTAGAAATATTTAAAATAGTTTAAAAATATTAAAAATAGTTGACATATACTTATTGGTTGCACAAAATATAAATGTACCTAGGCAACACGTGTTTGTTTTTCTCACATCTTTTTTTTTTTGGGGGGGGGGTCAGGGTATATTGTTAATACACACTGAAACAATTCATCGTGACGGATGCGTACATGCATCTGACATATTTTGATCAGTTTATTTCTCTCCATTACCCACATCTGTGTCTCCTCTAGTTTCACATTTGGGGAGGTGGTCAAGGCACATATGTTGAGCACACCTATCCTACCTTTGCCCTGTTCCCTCAGAAAGTGTACTAATTTCTGTATTTCATTTGGATTCAATGGCAGAAAGACAGATGATCAAAGTAGTATTAAATAATAATGGTATCCCTTAAAGGTGATTGCCCAGATTTTCTCCCACCACATTTTTAATACATTGCAATATGTGTTTAACAGATCCATAATGGAATATGAAAAGCCCATTGCTGATAGTCATGGTTTTGGCTTCTCGCAGGTAATTCATGTTTTGGACAGTGATCTCTGGGATGTCAGACAGATAAGCGACTGGGGTTGTTCATTCTCAGGAGCAGCCAGAGAGCAGGAGCCAGGGCCACACAGCATGGTCTCGCGGGTCCTCGTGCATGGCTACCTGGAGCCAAGAAAGTCCTTCCTGGATCAGAAGCTCATGGTCTGCTTTGCCATCTTTTGCCCTGTTTCCCATTGCTGTATATGACTGTTTAAATTTTTTCTACATCTCCCTTTTCAACTTCAACTTTCACTCCCTCTTTTTCTCTTCTTAATTGGGATCTGTCGTACTTATTTTACTTTCTGTCTCTGACTTTTTTCCTTGTCTCCCCACAGTCATGAGTCTCGATGGCTGCTCTGAAGTCTTTGCCATTCATGCACCCATGTCCACTGGGGATTGGTATCTCTGTGTCGCTTTTTCCACTGCAAGAAGAGACAGTTGTCTCCTTGTTTGTGCACTGACCAATTGTAGATAGCCACCTACATATTTGAAAATCATTTTATACGCTGTTGGCATTGTTTGTAGATTTAGTATTTTTGTTAGCTGGGAATTAATTAGTAAGGAGTTGCCAGGACTTTGCTCCCTCTAGTGGGCAGTTTAATCAGGTCCTTTTCTGAGACCTTGCAACTCTGGATCTGAGCTCTAATAGTATAGATAAAAATAGCTGATGCATGAGAGCACTTCAAGATGCATTTAAGTTGTATTTTATTATTGAAAAACAAGTGAAAATTACAGTTTCAAATAATAATTTAGTTGTGAAAATTCTTGTTTTCCTTATTTTAGATAATGTATAATCAGTAAAAGTATAAAAAAATAAACTACGCAATCAGGGAAAAGGCTATGGTAAATGATTCCTTCCATTTTGTTCCTTCTATCTATATAGACACTTATCCTCATGAAAAGTGATGTATAGAATTCACACTTTATGTGTTCTTTTATTTGATTATTGTACTTTAATAAGCAAATCCTAAAAAATGTGATTTCTAAAGTGCATATATATTCTCTCATTTGAAAGAAACACAACTAATAGCCTCTTTTCTTGTTGCTCATCTTTGACTTTATTACATTCTTTTCTATGAATCATCTTGAAAAGCTAGTAAAACAGATTCTCTTGTGGTCTGTTTTTATGAAGATTCAGCATTGCTAATGGGCAGTAACCTTCTGCACATGATATGAGAAATTTCACACAAAGACTTGAACAACGGTATGTTGAGAATATTATGCTATAGGGTCCATGCATTCCTCTTAGAAATGAGTATGTCACAAATATTAGCATTCACTAAGTAAAAGCATGTTTGAAAACTTGAGATATTAATTTCCCAAAATATGTCTTTCCAGGATTAGAAAATTTGAAGAGACAGAATCTTAATTAATCCTCCTTACTGTTTCAATGAGCCTGTGAGAAATAGTTGGACTTTGTGTATTTTTTATTTCATCAAATGTTTATTAAATCTTTTGATTCCTTGCCAACAAACTGTTAATTTGTGTCTTCCCAGAACACTTGTACATATTATGAAATGAAGAGATCATTAGTTTTACTCTTTATTTTCTTCAAAATACACAGCAAATGACATAGAGCTATTCCTGTCATTATTTATGCAAATATTCATAAATTTAAATTACTGTATTTCATCTAATAAGATAGAGTTTTCTCTGTTGTGACACTTCTCATTATAGGATCAAATTTTCTACTTGGCTACATTCACAGAAATGCTCTCTGAATCTTTGTGAGTACACGGAGACCCTGTGTCCTCTTCCTTGTCCTTTACTCTAGTTCTTTTGGGATTTAACATGGTGTGCTCTTAGCAGTCAGACTTGGCTGTAAATTTGTTGCCTTTTGCTAGCAATAGCTGTCTGATCTTTGGTGCTGCAGAGTCCTTCTGAGCCCCATGCCCACTGAGAGGGTGATAACACGTCAGAAAAACCAGGCACTATTCAAGGTCTGACACCTACGGGGACCTTAGTCTGTAACATTTCCTCCCTAGAAAGCCACACAGGACGCAGAGCAGAGCATGCCCATCAAAACTGCCATTTGATTGTGCTCTAAAGTTTCTTTCCAGTTTACCATGGGTAATGTTTTGTGACCCTGCTTGGTCAGAGTAGAAAGTGCAGCAAGGAGTGTGGTAACCAAGGGTATGTCTTTACATTCCATTTTGATTGCTTTCTCTTACTTCATAAACAATTTTAGCATACCTTTAATCCCTTCAAAGGATTCCTGTCCTTAGAACCCGGATGTCCAAAAATAACTGATTGCAAAATAAAACCCTCTCTGGAGATTGCTTCTAAGTCAGCACTCAGTTTAAATCTAAATTTAAAGGACAAATGGCCCTATGAAAACTAATCAATAGATGACAGCTGAATTCCATTTTCTGCCCAAAATGTTAATCTGAAAGGTGATGTTTAGTTTGTGTCATTAGTCTGTCAAAAGACAATCACGTGTGTAATCAAACAGAACAGGTGTCAAATACCTGTGTCAAGTCAGTTTATCAAAGTTTCAAACGAGTGCAATTTTCTGGAAAATCCATAAAATTGAAATAATAAAATTGATAAGATCAGCTGTAATAAATATCCGGCAAATATTTAATTAAAAATAGTTAAAACAAAAACATGTTGTCATTATTCCCTCTGCAAATTCCCTTCCCATTTTTCTTTCAACATACTCCTGCTGTATTTCTTGCCATGTTCTGAAGCCGTCCTGGTGGTCCTCTTTTGTGAGTATCTTTAGCTGTAACAATGGCTGCTCCCAAAACATTTGCCTCTCTTGGTCATTTTGACTTTGGAGGAGAGTCAGAAGTCATATGGTACCAGAGTCAATGGATGAGGTAGATGGGGACACCCTGTAATGGCCTTTCCGTGGATGGCATTCAGAAGCAACATTCATTATAGTTTTGATCACACCTTGTAAAGACACTCACAAGGGAACTTCCAGAACTGCTTCAGAAAGTGACTAGAATGATGGGCTAAGTGTGCTTAACATAAGGAAGAGCATTTTGTGAGGGATTAGTGGAAAGATGTCTCTTACTATAATACATCTTTTAATTTAAATCTTCACTATGTTTTACAATGACACTATGTATCTCTATAGCTCTGTGAATTGGCTTTGAAATTGGATGATATAAATATGTAGGTTGTTAACTATAATATGGCACATTAGGGGGACTTCGGAAACAAGAGGTATCATTATTTGCTCTTCTCAGATTTTGCTGTGTGATTTAGCTTCATACAGAGTAGGGCTCTTTCAGAATGGATTCTGGATGCTTATCTTAGGATAGTTAATATAGTTTTCCAGATAATTATATTTTCTGGGTTTTTTGGTTTGTTTGACTAACGAAAGAAAATGCAGACCATCAAAGAAATGACCTATGGACGGAAAGTTTTGATCACTTGTAAAGATGGCTATGTATTTTTATAATTACCATATCACTTTGTTAGTTTAAAGAACAGAAAGGCAACAGAATTACAGGGTAGATGGAAGCTTCACTTTCGATAGGTGAAATGATCACATTCCCTGGTGGCCTTGTTAAACAGATTATGAAGAATTTATGGTAACATGTCAAGGGCAGGATTCCATGTGTCTGAATTCATTCAGTCATCGGTCTATGGCAGATCAGATTATATCCTGATTTCTCCTTTCTTCAGGAAGACTGAGTCTGAGGGATGTTGTGATAGATACAAGCCAAAGCCTGCCTTATATTTTGAAATAATATTTTTAGTAATACTCTTTTTAATTCACAGAATACAATATTTCTGTCTCACTTATTCAGACTCCTTTGCTACTTCTGTTTTAGCACCCTGCATTTCCGTTGTGTTGTTGAAATCATGCATGTGTAAGCCTTGCACAGTTTTAACAGTAATAAAAAAGGCAAGATAATTAGTTTTATTTTGGTGATTTGCACTGCTTATTTGGCCAAAAGTATTAGAATAACATAAAGGGAAAAATGAGGGGTTCTGGATCCATCTAAGATATTTAACCTACAATTTGTAATAGTTATTTTCATTTTGGGTTATTTTTATCACAGTCATATCTTTCTTTGATATGCATCTATGAAGTATTCTGACTCTTATTTGGGACATACAAAACTAACCATTGTTACTATTTTTCCTTCCAGTCTAATGTAATTTGAATTAAAGTCATATTCTGCACCTGCCCCAGGCAGAGTGTATGTGTGGGAGGTGTGGAACAATTGTTCTATAGAATCACGTTGTTGAACAACCCCCTGATGACTGATGTCAACCTCCCATTCACCTCATGTTAATGTTCTCTATTACTCCATGTTCAGGTAGAGTCAGAAGTCATTTGTCCCTGTAAAGGGACTCTGGATTATTCAGTGTACATATCTTCTGGTTACACAGTTGAAGCAAGGGCTTCCACATCTTTGGGCTCCTGATGCACATGGTTCCTGCACATATCTGACATCTGCCTATGCCAGTGGGTTCATGGACACAGACCATGTAACACTTTTTTGACAATGAGAACATCAAACTAAAAGGAATAGAAACCTTACATCAAACACCTGGACCAGGCACAGACCTTTGATGGAACGTTCTGGATAAACTTGGGTACAGACTTTTCCTTCCTCTACCACAAGGTTGAGGCATGATAGAAGGAGGAGTGTCCACACACTTCTGTGCAACAGGTTCCCAACTCCTACATCAGTTAATGTCCTTCCTGTGTCCCATGTAGGTGCCCAGCCACCCACAGTGTGGGAGGAAGGTTGATGGCAGTGATACGTGTGGACAGATATTTTCTTTGCATTCATTAGCTGTGACCTTTTGAAAGTGAGCTAGGCTGGCTGTGGTTTAACTACCCTCTGTTTCCTTTCTAACACCCTTACCGCCCCGTGCGCTGTCCCAACCAGTAGGGACCGGTTTGACTTTGAGCCTCTTCCAAGAATCAACCACATTTGACAGAGTGCAGAAACAGAACAAGCCCCACACAAGAAAGTGAAGCCCCACCAGCCACACCAGCACTGCCTGTCTACCGAGTCTGATCAGTTCACAAGCCTCAGGGACTCATTCTCAGTTACGTTTGCTGTTTCTTCAGCGTAGGTGGTCTTATATTATTTCCAAATAAGAATCTCCATTTGACATCTGGAAGAATCTGTTTTGTAGCAACTGAAAAACACTACCAAACAAACCTTCCTAACGCCAATATGACATTGTCTTAATTCCAAAACACGTAATATTTCAACTTTGAAAGGATTCATTAAAGAAGGCAGTAAAACACGAACTTATTATGCTTGTTGGCTATAATAGCTATCATAAAGTTATTTATCCCTTGTTTCCTCGGTTTCCCCTTCAATAGAGAGAGATAACTGAATGTATCTCAGTATGCTTATGAGAATTAAAGGACGTAATACATCCTTGAACTGGTCCTGGTACATAGTGAACATTATACAACTCATTGCTATTGTTCATTTTTAAGGATGTATGTCCCTATATTTTGCATGGAATCTGAAATTATTTATTTGAATGCATTCTTCTAAAATGGATAAACATAGGCAACATGGGAATATGTCACAGATAACAATAAGACACCATATCCATCGAAGACCTAAGAGTAAGGTTTCTGAATGTTTTCATGACAAAGACCTGAATGTTTGAAGAGACAGAATGCTCACCCTGATTTAAGCATTCACAGTGTAACAAGCATTAAAGCCTCACAAGCAACTCCATGAAGATGCAAAAATGTTATATGTCATTTTTTAACATGGAAAGTGATGCAACTAGTTCATGGCAGATCATGTAGCCAGGACTCCAGCTAGCTGTGAGATGCAGCTTCTGGTCCGGGGTCTTTGCCCACACTATGTGACTTCCCTACATGGGGCAGCTATGCTGCACTGTGTTGAAGAAGTTCAGGGATAAGAAGGATATAAAATCCTCCTCCTGCCTCAGAAACACACCTGGGCACCTCAGAATATTCCACAGAATGTGATTCTGAGGACTTCCAGCCCACACCATCTCTAGGAGGAGCCAGGTGTACAGAACGCTGTACACATCAAGGGAGCAGGATTACCCATCCTCCTATGTCTGAGGCTCACGGTAACCTTGCTCACCTGTCCCCAGGAGAGCAGACACACATCAGTGATGCACACTCACAAAGGCAGGCAGACTGTCACTCTAAAAAGTGGGACCAACTACAGTGATACCAGGGAAGGTCACAGTTGTAGGCAAAGAGGAAAACAAATGAGAAATTAGTGACAAGCCAGTGACCTGATGTGTGTTTGTGGAAAAAACAGACACACTCAAAATCCTGAAGGAAAATCTCATGGATTCCATAGAGGACAGAGGATGCCTTCAGGTTGGGACCAATCCAGATTTGTTTCTGTTATGTGTTCCCAGGTTCAGAACATTCTAGATTTATATTATGGCTATTAAACTGTAGTTTCTTACTATTACCAATCTATGAACTGTAGATAATTGTATCTTTCTGAAAGAGCCCTTAGATGGTCATGAATTGTCTGGAAAAGCAGAATCTCAGTTCCTGCTCTATCAGACTCATTCTTTTTGCACAGAAATAACTATGAAAATGTCATTGGTGCTTTTGCACATGTAAGATCAATCCCTTCTATAGTGACAAGGAGGACTTGCTTGTGCCCACCATCATTAATTACCCCATCCATCCAACTCCAGGAGTGAGGGCATGCTAACTTCATCTTCCAGCAACAAATTAAGGCATAGAGGGGCTGAACCTCTGAAGTCACCCAAATACTAAATTCAAGACTTGAGACTGAAACCCAGGCTCTCTGGGTCCAGAATCCATGTGCTCAGCACCTCGCCAAGCTGCCTGGGGCTGGTACCATGCTTGGACTGTGTCTCTTTCTTAGGGGAACCTTGTAAGGCTCAGGGCACACAATGCTGTGAACACTAGTGTAGAGCTGAGCATTTAGGGCACGAAGCACACTGAATATTTCCCCACGGCCACTGAATGTCTCAAACTAAATGAACCTGAACCTGGAGACACTGAAGAGAACAGTGACACAGTCATTTGTAAGTGGCTTCCTACAGTCAGTTTCCAAAGGAAAGAGACATAAATCACCATCCCAGGGACAGAAATACAAATGTGGTGTTGGACCCTTGGTGTTCTTCAGCTCTGAAGGCCAGGCCTCAGTTGTCACGCTGTTCTCATCTTGTTGTCAATTCAGTGTCATCAAATTGAAGTACTCATATCCAAAGAACTATTTTGATAGCTTTTATTTACCCTGTCTACTATGGAAAACAAAGCATGCATTCAATAGCCAAGAAGGCTGTGTCAGAGTGAATAGGATGGAAGTTTCTAGAGGTGACCTGGTTCAAGGGCACTGCGCACCTGACCAGAAGTGGTGAGCTGTGCACAGTGAGGTTGTGAGAACCTGGGCCAGCCGGAGGGGCTGTGGGACCGTAGAGGGAAGGGGACTCGGCGTGCTGTGAGCTAAGCCTTGCTGGAAAACAGTCAGGTTGGGAAACCTTTATGTGATAATCACAGAACAATGTGCACGTGGTCTTTCAGAGCCAGAGCCAGACGCTGCTGGAGACAGGAAACAGTGGAGACACCATGGCCCTGCACGCCTCCACCTGTCAGAAGCTTTTCCTGTCCACGCAAAGAGCTGACCATCTGCACAGACGAAAGGTGATGAAGGCTCCATGGAGGGCGCTCTTGAGCAACAGCAGGAGGTAGATGTAGTAGGCAGAGGTGTTAGCGAGCTGCAGATTCCGCAAACCTAAGAGAGATCAGGTCATGAGTTTCAGTTGCACGTGTGACAGCGTGGGACACATCATGAGGAGGTGTCACAGATTTCTGATGATCTGTACTGAAACGACATCACTCACACACCCAAAGGTCAGTATCTACCATCCCACCAGGACGACTGAGGGCAACATTCAGTTCGCAACTCAAATTCTTAACTACCTGGGACAAATTCACTTAAAGCATTGTTAACATTAAAAAAAAAATAATGTTTCACTTTCAATGACGAATTTCAATAGGGGCAAAAGAATTTATAGTAACTAAGTCGTAACATTTGTTCACTCCAATCACATCTCTAAATAATAATCAGAGACAGTATACATTAACCACGAGCCAAATGGCAAATGATATTTACAGTTTTACATGTAAAGCTTTAGTCTTAATTAATTCTTGTAACAACCTATAAAAAAGAAGGGGGATTATTTCTCCTATAGTCTCCTATGAAAACTGGTTGCTTATTTTGCTGATGTCTAGGAGATGATGGATTAATTTGAAAGGCTATTCTGGAACATCCAGAATTCTGATTGTTTTACTTTAAGCCAGGGAAGTTCAAAGTTAAGATGATCAGGAAAAAAATGGCATCACGTGACACAAAAATAAAACTTACCATTTTCGTATTTTAGGCAAGCTTCTGGGTCAGAAGTGACTAGAAAAAATAAGGGCAAATATTGGTCAATTATTCTTTCATAAGAAAGTACGTGAGCATAAATATATTTGTATAAATATATAGTCTATTGACAGACAGGAACAATCATTAGCAATACAATCTTCACAATTCCAAAAGTAATATTTCTTACTCCATGAATTTCAGTAGATATCATCCATATATCTTTAAATTCATGAAGGACACATAATTTCTTAAAACTTTATATAACATTCAAGACTATGTAGTTTTCCTCTGTATTGGTAACTTGTCACAGTGTATGGCCCAAAGCAAGTAATCCACAGATGCTTTTCTAATGGAAAAATAAAGTGAGATTCACTGGTTTATAAACACCGAGAACAAATCGATTCTATTCTAGAGCGAATAGCAGAATTATACACATTTAAAGGAGGTTAACTTTGAGAAATGTATCATCTAAACAGAGAAAGACAGCCAGACCTATTCACACATAAGCATTGTCCCAACTCATGCACATGATTTGGGAGAGGTCTGGAATTTGTGGACATGAGAACGTCCATATTATTGAAAGCTAATGCCTAATCAGAGATCATGGCTCCACCAGGGTTTAATACTGTACCTGCATTATTTTAATATACTAATAAAACATAAATGAGCTGTATTCTGGACAGGCCCACATCATGGATGAGGAAAATGTTTATGGAGTGTAGATAATTTGCTAAGAGTCATAACAGTAAACAGCATGACCAATATTTAAAAGATATTGTGGAAGATTAAAGGACATAGGACACATGGAGAGTGCTCAGTAAAAATAATCTACAGAAATATATAGAAAATGATCATAGAGAAGCAACATAAAATCACTAGTGTGGACGCTGAAAAAAATCTCTTATAGTATGTTAATTACTTTTAGCTGATGAACCTTTTTAATATCAGAGTGTAGCATTTTAGTGCAGTAGTTCAAGAGTAGAAAGATATCTCAAGTCACCTTCTAGTTCTCTGAATAAATATTGAAATGAGAGCTGTATTTATCTGTGGTTAAAAGGAAAACATGCAGGGGCTGGGGATTTAGCTCAGCGGCATTATCGCCTGCCTTGCAAGCAGGCAGTCGTGAGTTCGATCCCCGGTACCGATAAAAAAAAAGGAAAAAGACAAAAAAAAAAAAAAAAAAAAAAAAAAAAAGGAAAACATGCAAATATCCTCGCAAAGATGAAAATATTTTAAAAATGGATGGAGAAGCAGCATCACAATAGTTGTTTTGGTTTATTCTTTTTCCGCTAGACGCGTTCTTGTCTTTATGGACTTGACTCTGCCTTTTTACATATTCATGGTGATGTCTTATTGTTTATGAATTAAGCAATGGATTAAAGCATACATTCTTTGGGTAAGTATCAAAAATGAAAATGCTAGTATGCTCATGTCTGGATAATAAAATATCTTCATAAACTGACTTTATAAATGTCTCTTTTTTTCTTATGATGATGTTATTCAGTAAAAGATAAAGATCCCTTATCACTAAGCATTGGAGATATCAAAAGAATACAGTTCCTGATAATACAATCTGTATGCCTACTCTAAATTCTCTCCCTCAGTTAAGGTTGATCACAAACTTGGCATAGATTAGGTTTTTGTTCTTTGTCTTTGGTCAGAGATCGAACTCACAATCTCGTACTTCCAGGCACGTGCTGTGCTGCTGAGCTTTATCCCAGCTAGATTAGTTTTCTTTTCCCTCAGTATCACTTCATTAGTTGGTCTTTCTCCCAGTTCTTTGTTTTTAGATTTTACAAAAAATTAAGAAGCTTCATTAGAAATGTCGATGGAGGGCACTAACGGTAGTGCCCTGAGCTTTGTTGCCCTGAGACGCCCCCAAAAGGCGTGATTTAGAATTCAGACCCAAGTAAAACATCATAAAATTAGAACTTCACGCTAGTACGATAATTGTCATAGAAATTAGTATATATTTTATTTTCCTCTGATCACAAGAAAATGTCTAAGAATAATTGGATACTTAGGCACATTGCTTATGTTAGCACTTTGTATAATTCCCTCCTTAGCTTCTAAGCAATAGAAATAAAAAATGGGGATTCTTCCTGTTATCTTACATTAATTTGTTTTAGGAATGATTATAAATATGGGGTAGCATAAGTACTATATATATATATGCTATATTTTTGAAAACCAAAATTTTCACCTGCATTATTTCATTTGTACTACCTTATAGTGCCAGGGAAATCCATACAGCTGTTGAGAACTCACAGGTCACCATTGAAACTAAGGATCCCAGCAGATAAAGCTGTATTTAGAAATCTGGATGGTTCACGGAGAAGTCTCACACACTCTGATTTGTTTGTGAGCCTATAGGTTCAGAAGAACTCCTTGGCCACAGGGAAAAGTATAACAAAGTGATTCTTTTCCAAGGCCAGTCTGGAGTCACTGGATTAGTGTTTAACACTTGAGCCTTTGACACACCCTGGACCACTTCCAGGCCCTCTACATATTCATCTCTGCCTGCCTGGGGTAGACATGCACCTCACTGCATCACACGGATTCCTTTTGAACGTGGGCCTGAATCATGCATGACCTTGGGTAATTGGGAAAAGAGTCTCCAGTCTTCACTGCTGCAAATTCACCATAGGACACCAACTAGACCCTCCAGACTCTTTACCCACATTCCTACCCAGGGCTGCCATCAGCCAGTGGTTCAGGAAATGTTTGTGTTTCTGGCCTTTTACAAGGGCAAGAAATACATCTATGATGGAGAAGGGAAATAGGTTCACATACATTAGCCTCACCCACCCTTAAATTATGAAATTTTACTAACAGTAACGCATAAGTAAAAGTCAGAAAAACACAAGGCCACCTAAAACTGCTTCAGCTAAAGTTATCCTGTGTTTTATTGAGCTGGAATTTGGCTCTTTTGTCTGAGCACCATTTTTTTTTTTTCATTAACAACTTGTTTGTAGAATGAACTTCATGCATAGCAACATTGAAGTGGGTGGTATTTCTTGCGAAGCAGAAAATTCCTGAAACATATCTAATTGTTCTCACTCATAATCAAAGAAAGTCATCAAAAATGGAAATTCCTTTCAGCATGTAACATGTAATAAAGTACGTGTTGTCCTGTATGTTGTTTCACTTAATCAAATATATAAATTCTAGGACTAGCACAAATTCTTTGGCATTATCCCATAGAATAATTAAAATGGCAGAGGCTTTGGAGAACACACACACCAATATCCACATATACTTTCTCAGTCTCAGTGTCAATATCAAAATATTAAGATCACACAAAACTTTTCATAGTTGTCATATTAGTCAAAAATATAAAATAATTCTGCTACAATTAAGTGCAAGCTAATGCAAGAAAGATTTCCCTGGGTTGATCAAAAATTATGGTGTGCATTTAAACAAAATTACACTAAAAGATATTAATCCCTCTTAATACTCCCTCTCACTTTGAACACAGTTTTCTTGTTTTTCTTGCCATTTTCGACAGCAGTTCTGGAAGTCTTCTTTCATAAGTGTTTTTAATTAAAAATGTGGTGAATGTTCTTCCCAAGTGCCATCCAATGGAATGGCAGGCTTATAAAAACATTACCACGTGTCTTTACCCACCTAATCCACTGAATCTGGTACCATGCCACTTCTGGCTCTTACCCAAAATCAAAGTGACTATGAAAAGTTAAAGTTTCGAGTCAACCCAAACATTCAGGCAGCCATGACTGTTCAAATAGACACTCATGGAAGAGGATTTCCAGACCTCTTTAGAAGGGGGCAGGAACTATGGGTTAAGTGACCTTAGAGGGAGGGTTAGTGGCAATGTACATTTTAATGTAATAATTTTATAGGAATTTAAACATTCACTATATTTTGTGATATCACTTCAAATATTTGTTTTCATTAATATTTGACAGATAATGTTCTCTTTCAAATAAATTTTCCGGAAGGTCGTATTTACATTGATATATGCATACCTTTCTTAATTGGAGGGAAGACAATCTTCTGATCAACGTTTCCTTTATTATTCTCATGTTTGACAATAAACGTGTGCTCTTTCGACATTGAGTCTCCAGTCACTGTTAACCAGCTAAACTTCATGTAGGTGCTGTTAACCTTCACCGTATCACTTTGCCGGGATTCCAGATCGCCATCATTATCCCTTTCCTTCCAATGTACCTTAATATTTTCAGGGAAAAATTCCTCCAGGAGACACAGATACGTTCCAGCCTTATCAGTGTGTGTTTCACTCACTGAAGGAAGAAACATGGAGGGCTTGGGGGAAATGTCTTCATCAAACACTTTATCTGTGGAGGAAGTGGAGCATCAGTGAAAAGAGCTATTAGAAAAACACAAACCTTGTGTGGTTTGTAAGTACTGTACCTGTTCACAGTAATCGGAAGACGAGCTGCCATTAAATGAATGCCGATCATGGCCTTTCATCTACCACTGCTGCATGACTCTGATTATTATCCTTACTTTATAGATAAGAAACGAAGAGCAGTTAAGTTTAACAAGGTGCCCAAATCATCACTATTAAAAGGCAAAACTGCAACAAACACCTTGCCTTTGTTTTTTCTCCGCATGTCAAGATAAGGTATGACTATGAATGTCAAAACCAAGGCTTCCAATATTCATGAACCCATTCATTTTTTTTTACACCACTTTTTTGCTCCACAGTGGATTGCATCTTCATGGTGTAGTCAAAGGACAAGGAGGAGATTAAGTCACTTCATAATCTCTCTGCAGAGGAAATCTGAGGTCCCTCGTGGAGAGCTTGCCTTTCCCATCGTTTGTCATTTATGCTTTCTGGCCAAGTAACTCACGTTCTCCTGCTCTGTCTGCCTTGCTGTGCAACTCGCTCTAGTTAAGGATGCCCTCTAGGCATCTTTTTTCTCATGGAGATAAGTGCTGCAAGGAGAATTTTAATTTTTTTTAGTAACAATATGTGTTGCTTACATGTGTACTTGCAGTCTGCCCAGTTGACCTCTGAGCTTCAATATCTATTCCGTGTCCATTTCTAAGGTTCCTGGAGTTCTCCTTGCTAATCTATCATTATACAAAATCTCATTTTTTCACTTGAACTACTTTAACTTTTTGGAAGCAGCAATATTTAAAGCTGCACTTTCAAATTATTTACAGTGCTTTGAATTTAGAAACAAAATGGCAACACTGCCACACCTTCTGTTAAAGAATTGACATTTTCAAAAATGTTATGTTAACCTAATCAAATACTATGTTTATCAAAATTTTGCTTAACTTTGAAAATGTTCACCAAAAGTATGTTTTATTTTGGTATTTCATTTTATATTCAACATCACTGAGGATTCACTAGAGGTGTTTTTCATTTCATAGTTAATATTGACTTTATTCAGCAGAGAAGTCACACATAACTGCGTAATTATATTTTGAATCTCACTATCACTTCCAAAATTAATTAGTATATACTTTATTAGTCTTTGGAGCTTGGTAATTCTCTTCATTTTAAACTATTGATTAAATCTATATCTATTTGCAGAATTTCTTGCAAAGAGAACACCAAAATAAAAGATACAGCATCATCTGTTTGCCTATTATGTGTCTCTTAGCCAGTTATTAATTTATATTTAATGTAAATCCTGAAATTACGAATGCTTGAATTCTTTCTAATTTGATTTCCAATTAAAAGTTGAAAATTTTGCCAATATTTTCTTTAGGTTAGCTTGAAGTATATATAATCATTCAATAGTTAATTTCTCATTAAAAGTAAAGAAGTAGATTTCTCACATAAGAAAAGGTAAAGCATTCCTGATTATTTCAGCCTGTTGTAGCGAGACCCTTGAGTTTCATACAGAATCAGTAAACAGATAATATTAATATCTTAACATGATAGAAATATAATTAGGCAATCATGTGTTTATTTTAATTTAATGGATCTTATTTTATTGCACATAGCAAGATACTATCTGTCTACAGCTTCATGCTTTATTTTTAATTAAAAAAGCAAGTTGTAAAATAAGATCAATTTTTAATTGTACATCATACATATACACACACACACACACATATATATGTTGGTTTTTCTAGTCCAAATATTTGAAAACTCTAATTTTCATCTTAAATACTTGTATACCTTTTAGTAATATTTCTGATTTATTTTGATTTGAAAAATCAAAGGTTTTTTGGAAAAATTCCCGTGTGGTAGCACAGCCTTCACTGCATTTCCTGTTTTCCTCAGCTAGATTCTTAAATTTCCTTCTTTCAAGGATGAAATGAATCTTGAACTCCCACAACTTCCTCAGTATAATCGTTAACTAATCAGAAGTATATACTTGATTATTTATAGTTAGTACATATATTTTGGATTCCTATAAGTTCTTTTAAAGATTTACTTTTAAATGCATAGTTTAAGTGATGTCCATGGTTGACATAGTTTCATGATATGTCGAATGGGAGTCATCCCATTTCATGTAAATAATGTATGAAGTGGCTACTATATATTTCATTTATTGGAAAAAATAAGTAAATATATTCAATTCATTTATGTGCATTCTTTTGAATAATGAAATAATACATTTCACTTAAATTTCTTACGTTTCTATATTTTAAGATGCAACAAGATAAACGCTATATAAATTGTTCAGATCTTGTATTTTCTGTTTGAGATATAATTTAAATAAGTACATTATATATGTTTTTTGAAGGGTATCAAACTTGTAATCTTGCAGTTGCCAGGCAGACGCTTACGCCGCAGAGCTAAATCCTTGGCTCTGCATATTGTATTTAAAAGTGTTTTCCATTTTTTTTTTGTTTTTCCTATCATAAAATAATTATAGCCACTTTTAATATTCAAGATATATTTCATATTTATGATTAATTTCTTAGTGTATTTAATTGATTTTATTTTTGTGCATTTTCAATATAAATTTATAGTTCTTTTTAGGTAAATATGTGCAAAAGTCTAAATTTACAGGTTATAAATTTTATTACTGATTTTAGAAAGATTGTAAATTAAAGTAAAGAATTATTATTCAAAGCAACGTAATACAAAAATGGATTTTTTGAAAATTCATTTTAGGTTTTTTCTGAGTGATGCAGAAGTTCACAAAAGGGAAACAAATGCCCCTAGATTCAAATTCTTGTATGATTAGAAGTTAAGGAAAGCTTCCATCTGTGCACTTAAACGTAAGGCTGAATCCCCTGGAGAAGTTCTTCTCTGCAGATGTTATGGGCCAGAAACAATTCTGCCAAGTGGAAATGATATTCCCTTTACATTTGAACAAAACCTAACTGGACAAGGCAAGAGGATTGCAATGAGTTCACATCCAGCCTGGAATACTACATAGTGAGTTCAAGGTCAGCCTGAACTACAGAACAAGACTCTTCCTCAAAATAAAAACAAAAAAATTCTAGTGACAAGAACCATACTAGGTACCTACTACATTGACACAATGTTTCAAGAACTTCACTGACACTAATTCACTCGCTTTCCAAGGAATGCTCCTATTACCTTTCTGGGTTAGTGCTGTTATGCCGTTCAATGGGTTAAAAGCCAAAGATTCATTGCTCTCAGTCCCCAAGCAGTGAAGGGTAGAACCGTGGCTCTGGTCTGACTCCCTGAAAAGCCCAGTCTTCCATAGCACACTTGACCATGAGATAGGAGAACGTGTCCTTTCTATAGAGTCTACTACAGACTCTATCTGTAGCATAATTTGTCCTATGCTCAAACACCTCTGTAACATTATTCCATATATTCTATACTTATAAAAGCTCATTTATATACAAAACCAAATCCTATTAGAATATTTACTTCCACAATCTTGTATATTTTCTCCTTTAGTATTGTATTAAGATCTCTCCTCAGATTTCTCCATGAAATCTCCATCACATACCTCTACTTTTTTCTGAAAATCATTAATTTTATTCCAATAAATTCACTTGTCATCTGCCCCCTTCTACCGTGGAAATGCCATATGTTTTTACTTACCTATGACAATAAGTTTTGTTCCTCCACCAAATATTTTCCCAAGGTTACTCCACAGTGATTTCATCCATATCAAAAACTTTTATCTACTTTAATATCCCTGTGTTTTGCAAATTCTAAGGACAACCCAATGGCCTCGAATTCTGGGGAGATCAGGGATCTGGTCCCATCCATTTTGCTCATAATAAGTTCCATGACTGAGCAAATTAAATGACTTTAAAGTTTTGGTGATCCCCCCCCCCCCAAAAAAACCCAAAATATTGATAGTACAAAGCAATTCAACATTAGCATCAGCATTGAAGTGAGAACAAAATGAATCAAAATATGAAATAGTAACTTGACTGAAAACATTATAGAATTATAATAAGTTATGATAAACAAGTTGTTATTATAACAATCATCATCGTTGATATCTGTTAGCAACTTGTTGAGTCTGATTGTGCTCTAGCACGACATTTTAATCTCATAACATCAAGCCTTAACTTACTCATAGAAATTCAGCATTTGGGGAATGCAATGAACCAATGGCAATTAACAGGGAAGAGCTGTCTTCTGTCCTCCCTGTGCTCTAATATACGTGGAATTTGCAAAGTTATCATCTCAGAAAGCAAGCTTTGCATACTCCTGAACTTCTAAAGGCTCTTACCTGTCTTACTTGCTGCCATTGGACAATCAAAGGGAGCCCCAGCTCCGGCTTGCCTGTGAGGCTGTGTGTTGAGATGGTTCACTTGTGCTAACAACACAAATGGCTTTGTGCAATGCATATAAATTCCAGACTTTCTCCAGAATGTTCAGCCTAAACTATTTTCTATCATCTCATGCTACAAAGCCCAGCTTGACACTCCCAGCCTGACCCTTGCAAGTATAATCACTAGAGAAATGGCAGAAGATCTGGTCCTCAAAACCATCTGGGCCACCAAATGCTATCTGCCTGGCACTGTGTGCAGAAATCTCCAGATATGAAATATTAGGTTCCCGGCATCATGAAAGCTCGCAGCGTGCAATGGGCTTAAGGACCATTTAGTTGAAGGCAATGTGTGCTCTGCGCTTCAAGTTCCTCCTGAAGGACTTCCCCATTGAGAGGCTTTTCTAACCTTGTAATAGAAATCAGTGTGTTTCTATTAACCAAATAATAGTAAGTACATTTTCCAATGCTCTTCTCTTTTACCTTTCAGAGTAAAGTTCTCTTCTGGACTTCCTACTAGATAATTACTTGCCTTTTTGCTTTCCTTTCCTCAGACTTCTCAGGAGACTATTTTTATTTACTGGCCTAAATGTACTTGTAAATTTTATTTTAGATCTTCTCAATTAGATTTGGAAGTAGGCAATTTAAATACACTGGTTTGTTCATTCCATGTTTGCCCTTTGGCCTCAGTGCCTGATTGTTTTGTAAGGTCAAGCTCAAATAAGGTGTAAGAAATGGAGACTATGCTTACAAACCCTAATTCTGTGATGAAATCACAGAAATACTGATTTTAAACAAACAGCATAGGAGCATAAGTGCATGAGACTTTCTTTCCCAAAATTATCCCTTATGATACAAGAGCTGCCTGCAGCACAGTTTATGTGTAGACTCTGAAATGAAAAGATGCTTTTCCAGCCACACAGTCCAAAACTATGACTTCATCAGGACATCGGTCTAATATCAACTCGTTAGTAGTCTTGGAACAGCAATAGTAAAAGAGAAAAGGCAAAGAAGTTTAATAAGGATTTGGCAATTATTACTTAGGACTAAGGTCTCTACCGCAGTTAATCCATGAATAGAATAATAATGAATGGAAAATGCTTTCTTTTCATTTAATTGAGTGGACAATTGCCTGGAGGGGCTAAAACATGCAGTGGCAACACCACACAAAGTTCCAAATACACAAGTGGATTTGACATCTCTTAGGAAGTTGGACAAAGTGGATGTTAAAGATGTAGGTGAAGCCTGGTTGAATTTTCTTCTGAAAGTTAAGGAAAAGACATAGCTGTATTTTTCAGCAGCTGTTTGGGTTGATATAATTTTTAACTTTGTAAAAAATTAAGCATAGGGGCTGGGGATTTAGCTCAGTGGCATAAGCGCCTGCCTTGCAAGCAGGCGGTCGTGAGTTCGATCCCTGGTACCGATAAAAATGAAAAAGGCAAAAAAAAAAAAAAAATTAAGCATAGGGGGCTGGGGATTTAGCTCAGTGGCATAAGCACCTGCTTTGCAAGCAGGCAGTCGTGAGTTCGATCCCTGGTACCGATAAAAATGAAAAAAGACAAAAAAAAAATAAGCATAAATACACAGTTGTTCTACCTATAAGTTTATATACCCAACTTGGAAAAAGTTTTAAAATTTTCATTTTGATAGATACGGAAATTAGAAATTATTTTTGTATTCACGCACATGGTTTTTGACAAAATGCTTATCACCTGCTAGTCATTTTTAGAAGCCACTTCTCTTAATCTCAGAGATAAAGAGAAGTTTTTAAAAATAATACTGAGCATTTGCTCTGAAGTGAGCTATTAAGTGGATGGTCTGTATTCTTAAATTTGTATAGAACACTTATGAGTTATAATTTGAGTTCTGGAAAAAATTAATATTTATGTCACGAAGTATTATCTATTGTAAGGTATAATTCCATACTTAATATTATTTAATTGCTGTCATATACTGTACAGATAAATGTCAACATCTTCATATAGGTTAATAAGGAATCAGGAGTTTTATAACTTGCTTTGGTAAAAAATTATAAGTCATTTGAGAAAAATGTTCGTGAAATCATGTGAAGCAAAATGAAGCCAGCTCTATTAATCTTTAAATAGTATGATCCCAATCTTGTAAAACAAAACCAAAAGTGCACAGATAAAAACTGACTGAATGGGTGTAAGAAAATAGCAATTACAAGTTCCATATAAATGCCTACGTACTTCTTGATTTTTCTGTAAACAGCAAAACTTTTTATCATTTATAAATAACTGGTGAATCCAAATTACTTGATACAATGTGGGTACATAGAAAATGGTTTCCCCAGAAGTCACACACCAGAATCAAAGCTTTATTTTTCCTTGTTCTATATGCTCCTAAAAATCACTTCACAGGGAAATCATGAATTATGACTGTGGAATAATTATTTAATTTTATTGTGAGAATCCATACTGAGTCCACTGGGAAAAAAGAGGAACAAAAATAGATTTCCAGTTAATGATTGAATTTCTTTATACAATCTCAACCACCAAATAACCCCAAGTACCATCCTTAATATTTTTTTCAATGGTTTATTAACTTTGTAGGATGCCCCGGAAAACCTCCACCTTAGTGGATCCAGGAGGCTACAAGTATCTTTGGGAGATTGTCTTCCTAATCCAGGCAAAGCTGCATCTCTGTGAATGATGAAGAAGGAACAGAATATTTAAACTAATTTTTTTAAAATGGCAGTTTATATCATTCCTGAATATTACTACAGAGGAACGTATTTTAATCTGATATTAATCATCTTATGGCTAAATCATCAAACACTTAATCCTTCTGTGATCAGTGATAAGTGTAGCAGAATTCTTTGTCATGTTTTCCTGTTTGCTATTTCTAGAGCCCATGGCAACTTCATTCCACTTTGATTTTATTGCCACTGGTCACCTATTACATAGAAAGTCTTTATAAAAATACCCCTTTATGTTCTCCTTTAAATTGCTCCAATCTTTAGTCATTATTTATGAAAAACCCTCCCTCTTCTCTCATTTTAATTTATGCAGTATTTATATTAAAACATGTAAATTGTTTGCCTTGGTGTTGAAGACACAGCTCATATAAAATCACATTAAAGAGTATAATCAGACTTAGCCCATTCTGCCTAGGAAGTATGAGTTTGTTCTGTTCTTGTGTGTCATATACCTGAGAAAGATGGATAATTACATCCATCTCCTGACTTTTCTAGAAGCGTTTAAATCTCCTTCCTTGAAGACTTTTTAGGTATAAAGTCAGTCCTTAGCCCCAGGTTGTAGTTTAATTAATATTTCCTTAATTTTCAACTATAAACATAATAATCATATACTTAGTATTTAAAATATATGTTCAGTAAGATTTATGGGTGTTTTGGAATTCATATGAATGGAGGTATGAGTATCTGGGTTGATTTAATTTCTTCTTAGAACATAATTCCCATTGATAGTAGGGTTGAATTGTTCTAGAATGCAAATTCTTAATGATCATCTCTTAAGCTAATTATTGCTGAATGATTGCCCTTTTGATTTGAAAACTCCCCTGCAGTTCACTGCGCATAGAATTTTAGTCTTGGGCTACTCATCAGAAGGTGCCTAACCAGTGTGTATTTCTGCAGCTATCTTGCCTCATGAAGTTGAGGCAGCTCTGGGTTCTGTATGGAGAGGTGCAACTTAATAGAGCTGCCAGAGCTTCTTCAGCAGCCTTAATCTTTCAGTCCGGCAAACTGAGGCCAACACAAAAATGCAATAGAGTGGAATAGGGTCAATATGACTTGTCATTCTGTAGAATTACCCTAGGAATCCTATGTTGGGCATTCAATAGGCAAATATTCAATCTGACTTCCATGATCCTCTTTTCAGGGATGCTCAATCTGTGCATGGATTTTTATAAGCAGTAACTACTATGCAAATTAGAAAGAAAAACAGCTCATGGACCTAGAAACTCCTGCTTCTCTGGCAAGGAGAAGACTAAGAATACTGTCAGCCCAGTGAAACCAGAATTGAGAAAACTTATCTATTGGAATAGAAAATTTATAGTGTTGAGCCTGTGACTTGTCTACTCTTTCATCTCCAGCATGCAGCACACACAAAAAATCTTCAATCTTGAGTTATGTGCTGAGAGAATGAATGAGCAAATGAGGGTTTGAATCGTGAATTGTCTTTTTCTGGATCTTGAATAGAAATGATTTGTGGAACTTGAAAATTCCAGTAAACCGGACCTTCTCCAAGTGATACAATCAGAGAACAGTTACACAAATTTTGACTGTTTACAGCCTACATGGTCAGAAGTGGAACTCATTGATGCTCTATAGCCAATTACTGTGTTAATTCTTTTCACGTTATTGGCAATGAGACCAAACAAACAAGAGACCAGACACTTTGTGGCTTATCAGGAGAAGGTAGCACTATGTCATATCTTAAAAGATAGACAAGAGGCAAGTAACAAAATTCCATTTTGAGAACTCTCCCTAAAATATTTTGAACAACAGTGATCATAAAGTGATAACACAGAGTAGTTTATAGGCATAAAACTCAAAAACTGTTCCTTTTTTAGCCCTAGTCTACCCTGTGGGTATGTGCATTTCAAATGCAGAATTTTAATCTGTTCCCTGATGAGAAAAAACAATTTACAAAGTAAATCTCTTTCCCATCCAATAGCCGGTATCTGCATAGTAATTGCTTTTCTTACTTAGATAAAGGCCAATAACATGGTAAAGACAGATAAAGTTGATCACAAGTTGTTTTTCTAAGAAGCATCTTTTCATTGCTAGGTTAGCAATAATTATAAAACATTACTTACCAGAGGGAATTACAATGAGCTTAGTTCCTTCTCCAAATATCTTCCTGATCATGCCCTGGTTATCACACTGGTCATAGCTTCTACATAAATTTTGGTCGCCTGCAAATATCATGATGTGAGCAGCAATTTGACAACTTTGTCCTGTCACGAAGATCTTCTGAGTTCCTTTGTAATTCTTTGAATATCATTTTTGTGAGATCTGCTAATTTGTAAGTTTCCTTATAAATTAATCCATAAATTGTCTGTTTTTCCCGGAAGCAGTAATCATTAGAAAATGCCAGAGAAAATGGCAAATGTAACAGAAAGAAAATTAACGAAGAGAGTCAGGTCAATGAATTAACTGACTTCTTTGCTAAATTACAGAAAAAGTATTCTGTGGATTAAGTCATATTTAATTGCCAGGTGCTCTGATATGTTGAAACTGCTTAGAGATTACATCAAAGAACAGGCTTCCTGTTCTCACAAATGTCACAGCCTCTTCTCACCAACTTGGGAAAATTGTTCTCAGACTAGAAAGCTCTTTGATATCTGAAACAAATTATGCCAACACAGTAAGTAAAGGAAGCTGGTTGTTGACTAAATAAACTGTGCTAAGACAGTTAAGAAATGTGAACTCACCTCTTCCCTTCCAGTAAATCTGTACATACAATTTAGCATCATTACAGGAAAGTGACAAATGGGTAGCTCCTGTGATGATTTATTCTTTTCCTGGAATAAAAGAATAAAATTACAGAATTCTGTCTACCATGAAATTGTAGACTGTGTTTAAATGATAAAGTGAGGGAAATTCTAGTTCTCTAGTAAGAGAAGGAAGTTTCTGGATGCTCAAGTCCTCATCTGACTACAAATGTTGTACCCAGAATAAAGACCAAGGAGGACAGATCCTGACAATCCCTATGCCCGCTCCAGACATAGCCTATCGTCACCACATTTCCAAGAGCAGATAGATACAGCTTTTGCACTTGCAGAATGAGGGGAAGAACGTGGTGATTTTGGACAATGGAACAATCATAGCAACTCAGAGCTACCAGCCTAATGGGGAGAAAAGAGGATTAGATAAAAAGTATGTCAGAAAGTGTTTTTAAACTTTAATTGATTGATTAGTTGATTGATTGTAGAAGGTTGTTTTAAATGAAGGATTCTATTTTGTGTTAGTTGAAGCTGTGGATTACCCTTTGGTTCATGTGACTTAAACACACTGAATCCCTTTTTATACAATATTTTTCCTTATTCCAAAACCAGGAAGAGAATCATCAGAAGCTTTGCAAATTACCTATATTCCAGAACCACAAAGGGCTTCAATAATAAAGTGGAAGAAAAAGTGATGAATTATAAAATCCTTTATTCCATTTAAAAGAAACTATAACTTAGTGAAGGCCACATTATAAGATTTTACTAAAGACCTATAATAAAATCTGAATACATAGAGAAACATATTCAAAAATAAAAAGCTATCATCATAAAGTAACAAATACTCCTTAAGTTCATATGTGGATTGATTATAATTCCAGAGTTATCATAACATTGTAGTTTTCAGTTATAGAGTAGGAAAGTTCACAGTGAACTGATTATAAGGATGCATAAATGTGGTATAATGGGAAAAGCATGCACTACAAACATGAACTAATAAAATAAAATTAAAAAGATAAATACAGTAGCAAATAGACATTCATCATAAATTTTAAAACCTATTAAGTGCTACTGGCATAATGATGATGTAAGAGTGATATACATCAATCAAATCTTCCAGAAAATATGTTCCCAGTATATGTGAATATTCAAAATATGCTTACTGACCACTATGATGTAGAGAACTTTCTTCTACCCAGAACTTTTCATCATGAGTACCAATGTTTGACCCTATCAAACATGAACAGAGATTTCTCAAAGGTGAGCTAAAATAATCCTATCCTCTAACTTGCTTATGTTGACTATTGAGTCCCAGAAACAACAAAAGTGGTAAAGAATTTGGTACCAGAGAGTGTACTCATGGCTGTGACTGTTACCTGACTGTGGGATTTAGAAGCTTTTGAAACTGATTTCTGTGAAGAGCTGGAAAGGTTTACAGAAACCCTAGAATGCTGTAAGCTAAATTATATAGAAAGCCTGGTCAGAGCTCAGATAATCAGAAGGCTGATAAAAATACACAGAGGAAAGACTAGGCAGGGGAGATTTCAGCTAAGAAAAAAGACTCCAATAACAATCAGACTACAGACTATATGTGTTGTACCCTAGCAGAAAATTCGTCTGTATTTTGTTATTTCCTAAGACTTGCAAGAGACTCAGATTAAAGAAGTTGGACTAATTAATCTGATGAGGGAAATTTCAAGGCAACCCAATGTTCAGGTTACAGTATCTGTACTACTTGTTGCTTTAAATGAGATCTGCATTAAGAAATAAGATCAAAATGCCCATTTAATAGGGTTTGTGTTTCATGATAAAGAACTCACCTGTAAAGATAGGGCCTATAAAGTTTTGACCAAGAAAAACTTGATTGCTGAAAAGTTTGGAATAAAAAGAAGGCAAGTACTTTGCATAAAGACAACAGGAAAGATGCCTTGTCAGACATGCAGAAATTAAGACCTCTCCAAACTGAGTACAAAGCTATAAAGATTTCAGATGGGTTTTTCCTCAGCATGATAGGAAAATAAAAGCAAAGAAAGGAAAAAAGAAAAAGGCTTTTATTGTGAGCATGGGAGGGGTGAAAAATTTATTTGCTTTGACAAGGGGTGGACTTTGAACGGGCAGGCAGAAGGATGTAATGACAGCTGATTGGGGGGAATGCTGGTGATTGCACAAAAATCTGGGAGTTCAATTTTTAGGTTTGGAAAAAGAATGCAGAAGTCAGTGTTGAAGGCAGGCAGTATCCAGCACCATGTTGGGCAAGCGCCATGCTAAACCTAGTGGCCCTTCATATGGGCAGAATCCATCACTTTCATTTGAAAAGAGAGCTCTGGGAAGTCCAGCTCATGCAGTAAAGAGTTTACCAGAGATTAGCCATTCCAGCGCTTTGAATTCCTCTGCAACTGTAATCCACGTGGGCCTAGCTGTGTCTCCAGCTGGTGTCAATCTTTGGCATTAGCCATGTGATACTCACTTTACATGCACACAGACTGCAAGAGCTGTGGAATCCAAGCAGGCTTTCCATCAAATAGAACAACACCTGGGAAGCCAGGCAGCGTGCCTCTAAGAGACTGAAGCCAAAAGGACAGCGGAGACCTCAGGAAATGGTAGAAGCCAAGAACATAGAATCTGCTGAGAAAGACCACACACAGTGAGTGGAGTCTGACCCAGAAGAGAAACCAGGAAGGTTGCAGCAGGCAGTGTCATGAGGCAGGGACAGCCAAACCTTTGGAATATTCATTTTGCCATAACTTTCCCTGAGTGCTCGACACAGAGCCATAGAATTTATTGTTTGCTTACTAGGTTTTGCACTTGGTCTGGTCCTAGTCCATAGTATCTCATCTTCCTCCCTTCTGGAATAAGAATGTTCATCCTGTACCTTTTAGAAGTGTCCAACTTTACTTTTGATTTTTTTGTTTGTTTCTATTTTTTGTTGTTGTTGTTTTAGTTTGTTTACAGGGACTCTGAGTTAAGAATTTGTCTTGAGTCTCAGAGGAATCTTTGGAACTGGACTTTTCAGCAATGCTGAAACTATTAAGACTTTGGTGACTCTTAGGGGTGGACCAAAAGCATTTTGTAAAAAGAGGCGTACATGATTCTTTTGAGACCTGGGTGCAGAAGTGATAGTACTGGTCATCCTGTAAGAGTCTCACGCACTCAGAGGCAGGTTTCTTGAAGGGGGTTGAGTTATGGAAGTACTACAAGTGATGTGTATTTAAGAGATGCAGCATGGTTACAGGTGGGTCACTGGAGGCTGATATGAAAGGGCACAGCTTCCCTTCTTTCTCTGCTTCCTGACCCACCATGATGTAAGATGCTCTCCTCCATCTAAGAGTTCTGCTATATGGCTTCTGCAGTTGAGCCTATAGAACATGGACTGAAAACTTCAGAAATGTGAGCCAAACTAAAGCTTTCTTCAATTTATGGATTTTGGGTATTGAGTCCCAGTGACAAGGAAAGTCTAAGATAATAATTAATATAAAAATTCAAACACAGAGGATTGGCATTTTAGGTAAGAATGAGAGAATCATAGCAATGTGTATAAAAATTAGTAATTTCAATTCTCACCAGGTTTTTTGTAGTAATAAACATACACATCCCAATCAGCAAGTCCTGAGATGCCCAGCATCAGCAAGTAAATTCTACTACAAATGGGAGGATTTCATAAAAATTGCATAGAAGACAAGGTCAAATGACTTATAGCACAAGTGTGGAACTGATTGTGTGGAGTTCTACAACACTTTTTCAAGCTTGATGATGATTTTTTTTGTACCAGGGATCAAACTCAGGACCTTGTGCTTGCCAAGCTGGTACCTATGTCACTGAGCTAAATCCCCAGCCCTATCATAACATTTTCTTTTCTTTTCTTTCTTTTTTTTTGTCTTCTTCGTTTTTATCGGTACCAGGAATTGAACTCATGACTGCACACTTGCAGGGCAGGTGCTTATGCCGCTGAGCTAAATCCCCAGCCCCTCCCTTTTCTTCTAACATTTTCATTAATAAAAAATTCAACCAAAAGTGTTAGATTATCAAAATGTCTGAAGGTATTGCTCATTTGAAGGTTAGCTTAACATCTTGAAACAAAATAGTAATGCAATCTTTTTTATCTTACCTTGTATTCTGGAAATACTGATGGATTTTAATGAAATCCTGTACATAACTTACAGATAACTCCAGTAAATAATGTCAGCAGACATCGTTGTAAAGAAAATAAAAACATTAACATACTAACGATATGAAACTCATATACTTCTATAAACAGATCGCATTCCCAACCTGGCTTAATTTTGATTTACAGTGCTATTCCTTAAATAATATCAGATATAATTTTTCATACTATAGTGCAGTGATAGCAAACCTTTTTTAGACTGCGTGCATTAACTGCAACCCCAAACCCAATTTTCTATCATAAAGTATCAACACTGTAATTAAATCTGAATAATGATGTTTTAGTTTAGAAGAAAACAACTGTTATCCGATGCACGGCTGCAGGGAGGGCTTCCGTTGTGTGCCCACAGAGATGACTTTGTATGTCTGCTGCAGAATATGTGCCGTGTTTTTGCCGCAACTGGTATCATGGGTTATTGGAAAGTACCATTTATCTGCTTGTAAAAACAGAAGAGCAGTATATGACAGTAGCCAGGAAAGTTAACTTCCAAGTAGGCTTTTCTCTTCAGTTATTTTATCATCTGTTCTGAATTTGACAATATTCTAGTTTCAAGGGACTTCTGCACTTCGGGTGCTTGACATGTCTTTACAAGTGTTACAAATACTTCTTGATTTATGCAGCACCCACAAGCAAATTA